TTATACCACTCAATTTCATCACAAATCACAATTAGCATGCAACAATCAAGGTAAATTAATGGGATAAATTAGGGGAAGTCATCTAAAGCACCCAACTACTCTCTCTAGAGGGATTACTTGAATCATGAATACAACCTACTCTCGTGGTTACATAGCATAAAACAAGTGTTAAAGCATAATCACGATGACATAAACATTCCCTTGACAGGTAATCCCTATTCTCATGGCATTTCGGGTCAATCAAGCATAAGGGAGCTAACTCAAGTTCATCTCTCGATCCTTCGTTGAGAAAGCTTGGATAAATAGTTCTAGCAATGGCCATATACAAGAACTAAGCAATTAAACCACTTAAGCTCAACTAATTAACATCCCACAACAACCAAATTAGCACATGCAACAAGTAATTAGTGACTACATTAAGGGTTTTGCCCAAACTCTAGAATTTAGACTACTCACAATCCATGGGGGTTAAAGCAATTAAAGATTTCAAGCAATTCATGAACAAGTTCAAACTAAGAATGAAGCTAATTAACAATCCAAAACATGCAAGAATTAAGCAAGTAATCAACAACAAAGTAAAGAGAAGTAGAAAAGATGAGTAAGAAATGGTTACTATGAAGCTTCAAAGTGAGCAACAATGGTGGATTTTGTCTTCTACAATGATTGAATTTGAATGCTTCAAAGCTAAAAATTAAGAACTAACTAATGATTTGAGAATTTAATGTTCTAAGACTACAAATTAAGAGGAAAGCTCTAAAAAAAACTGCCTTTTTTTAACAAATGAGCTCTAAAGAGGTATTTATATAACCCCCAAATAAAAAGGACGGAGAAAACAAGGAAGGAGTTCGACTGCAGGTCTGCACGGACGTGCCAGATTCGGCACGGACGTGCAAGCATAAGCACGGTCGTGCCAGATTCGGCACGGACGTGCAGAGGGGGCAGAATTGAGGCAGAACGTACTGCTAAGAATCGAGCAGCTCCGCACGGACGTGCAGATATTGGCACGGACGTGCAGATATTGGCACGGACGTGCAGCTACATCTGCACGCACGTCCGTGCAGGCCTTGGCAGAATGTTCTAAGTTTCTGGAGCACTCCTGCACGGACGTGCCAAATTAAGCACGGTTGTGCAGGCCTTGGCAGCTTGCTGAAACTTTCTGGAACCTCCTGCACGGACGTGCAAGGTCTGGCACGGCCGTGCAGGGTCTTCTAAGCCCTTTTTTTCATCTTTTCTTCTATATTGCTCCTTTCCTTGGCTTCTTTCAACCATCTTCTTGCTTCTAACCTCGGCTTTGTATCCATGGGCTCCATTTGGTCGTTCTTTTGAACCTAGAATCTCAACAAAAACACCAACAACCCGTGAAGCATAGGATACACAAAAATTGCATAATAATAGAGTAAAAATGAACCAAAACGCAATTTTTATCAAGTAAAGTAGGTTCAAAACACCCTAAAATCATATCAAATAGCAAGTTATCAGTAGGTGATGGCAAAGTTCGGTGTACCAAGCTCGGGGAGCTTGCTTTAATCCATATAAGGCTTTGTTTAGTTTGCAAACATGCGTAGGAAATTTGGAATGAACAAAGCCAGGGGGTTGGATAGTATAGACATCATCAGTGAGAGTGCCTTGAAGAAAGGCATTTTTTATATCTAATTGTCGTAATGGCCATTCATGAGTGACCGCAAGAGATAGAACTAGTCGGACTGTGGTAGGCTTGATTATGGGGCTGAAGGTTTCCCCATAGTCTATGCCAACTCGTTGTGCTTTATATTGTGTGATTGAACCATCTTTGGCTCGCTTGATTCGGAACACCCATTTACAGCCTACAACGTTTTGGGAAGGAGAGGAAGGAACAAGGGTCCATGTGTTGTTTTTCATGAGCGCATGGATTTCGGTTTCCATGGCTTTCCTCCACACAGGACTCTTTAAGGCTTGTGTTATGTTTTTGGGAAGAGTGGTTTCATGAGCTTCAGCATTTAGGTTAAGTTTGTTTATGGGTTTTCGAATACCATGCTGGAGACGGGTGATGATTTTAAAGAAGGTGGGTGGAGGAAGCGGGGAAGCAGGCTGGGAAGGAGGGGAAGGTGATGGAGAGGAGGAGGAAGTGATGGAGTTTGTGGAATTGGGAGTTGACGGAGAAGGGGAAGGTATGGAAGCAATGGGTGTGGGTGAGTGAGATGGCGTCTGGTGAGCGGTGGAGGAAGAGGACGTTGATGTAGGTAAAATAAGAGAAGAAATGGTGAGTGGTGCCCACTGATCAAGTAATGTATTAGAATCATGTGATGGTTTGGAAGAAACTAAAGGGAAAAATAGTTTCGTTGAATTGAACATGACAGGATACGTAGATGCGCATGCTATCAGGTTTCAAACAATAATACGCATTTTGAGAGGGAAAGTATCCAATGAATACACATGGTTTTTATTTCGGATCAACTTGTGAGATGTATACGGTTTAAGCCAAGGATAGCAGAGACACCCAAAACTGCGAAGTTTTGTGTAGTTCGGTGTTTGGCCAAAATGTTTGAAATATGGGGAGACATTGTTTAAGGTAGGAGTGGGAAGCCGATTTATTAGATAGGCCGTCGTTGAGGCAGCATGGGACCAGAAATGGAGAGGCATATTCACATGAGAAAGAAGGGAGAGGAAGGTCTCAACAATGTGCCTATGACGACGTTTAGAGAGACCATTATGCTCGGGAGTGTGTGGGGGAGTGGTGAGATGAGAAACACCATCAATAGTTAGATGATTTTGGAGAGTGAGATATTCTCCTCCATTATCCGAATAGAGGGTTTTGAGAGGAAGTTGGAAATTTTTTTCCATAAGGGCTTTGTACCGAAGGAAAACAGTTTTTGTGTCTGATTTTTGTTTTAAGTTGTATAGCCAAATATATTTTGAATAGTGATCAACAAAAATCAGATAATACTTAAAATTGTCATGGGAGTAAACAAGAGACGTCCACAAATTAGTGTAAACATATTCTAGAGGAGCATTAGAAGTAATAAAGCTATTCGAAAAAGGAAGTTTGTGACTTTTATTGCAGGCGCAGGAATTACAATCTAAAGTAGAGATGCTAGGTACATTCAATTTATTTGTAGAAATTAGAAGCTTAAAAATATTCCTAGAAGTATGACCTAAACGGTGATGCCAAGCAATAGAGGAAGAGGTGCTCGTGTAAGCCGAAGGAGAGATTAGACGTCCCTTGAAACAACACTTTCGCCGTTGGAAGGTGCTTCAAGAAGAAAGAGTTAGTAGAGAAAGAGACAGAGATGTTATTATCAAGACAAAGTTGAGAGATAGAGATGATAGTTTTAGTCATGGATGGAACAACTAAAACGTTTGTAAGCTTAAGAGAAGAGAGAGAGCAAGAACCAACGTGAGTTATAGGAAGACCCTTACCATCACTAACGATTAGTTCCTCGGTTCCATCATAGGGTGCATGAAGAGATAAATTGTTTAAGTCATTGGTGACATGGTGGGATGCTCCGCTGTCTAATAACCAAGGGGTAGAGGAAGATGAAGCATGAGAAAGCTGAGTGGTGTTGGCCTGCGGTTTAGAGAAGGAATGGGTTGGCTAGCAGTGATGTGGCGAGGAAGGGGAGGGGATGCAGTAGGAAATTGTTGAGTGAAGAGGAGACAATGAGCCACAACATGGCCTTGTTCACGGCACCATTGGCATTTGCCAAGGAAAGGTCTAGGGGTTTTGGACGTGGTTGAAGTTGGGGTGGGAAGTATGCCTTGGGTGGACTGTTTCAAAGAAGAACGTGGTGTATGATTTAGTGGAGGCAGTGAATGTAGTGGCTGGGAGAGAGGGTTCAGCACGGGTTTGGTTTTGGTGAATTGAGAGTTCTTTGTTGATGAGTTTTTCATGCAGCTCCTCAAAGGAGATGGGAGTGTCACAGGCATTAACCGAGTCCACAACAGACTTGTAAGAGTCGTCTAGACCAGCAAGAACCTTGTCTATAAAGTCCTCATCCTTCACCGGTTTACCGAGAACGACAAGGTGATCAGCGCACTCTTTTAAGAGCCGCATGTAATTGGTGATAGAGGAAGTGCCTTTCACTATGCGATTGAATTTGTCCTTCAATTGTTTAATATGGCCACGGGAGGGAAGAACATAGGTTTTGTTTGCCTGGGAGATGAGAGGAACGAGGTTAGGGGATATGGAACCGATGAGGGCACCAAATAGAAGACGATCTTGACGAGTCCAATATATGTACTCGGGGTTTGGGAGTTCAGCCTCATCAGTAACAATGGTGGGAGAAGGACAAGGTAGGTTGCCATCAACATAGTGAAATAGGTCGTGGCCTACTAGAAGTGCTTCAACTTGAAGCCTCTAGGAGAGATAGTTTTGCGGGGTTAGTTTGAGTGCATTATGCATGTTGATGACGATGAAAGGTTTGGATGGAGTGGTTGCATTGTATAGTTCGGAAGAAGAGTTGGTATGAGTGATAGACATGGTGAATGGTTGAAGAAAATAGGCGAAGAGATGTATGGATCAAAAAGCAATCTGATACCATATAAAGGAATATTGTTGTTATTGTTTCTTTGATTGATTTACATAAAGATGTACAGCAGAATATATATAGTAGTACATGAGTATATATGATAAGTACAAAATATAAAAACCTATAAAGATAAGAAGGTAAAACAACATTGAACAAGTAAGCTCCTAATATTATGGGAATGTTGTTGTGTTGATGAGAATGGGCAGCATGCGTGGATAGACTTCATTTTTTAACAGTGTAGGTGGAAGGCATTAGATTTGCTTCACTTAAAGTAATTAAGTGAATAGCCTCTTTCATATTGATCCAAATAAAAAGGACAATTTGATTCAGAAACTTTGCTATGGATTAATTTGTTTGGCTATGTGCCTATGTAGCACATTGTACTAGTTGGTTATAAATTTTATTTATTTTTTATTTTTTTTATTTTTCTTGGATTGCTTATGCAATGCTATGATGAATTGTGAATGATCTTGATCCTAATTGTTAATGTTTAAGGACAAGTTGGATGTCAAGAGTTCAAGACTACACTGCAGCAGGAAGAAAGGAGCTGCCACTAGCACATATTGTGGCTTGATTGTAATCCTAGTTTTAAGCCATTGTAAAAAAACAAATTTGGAATGATATTGTAAAATTACAACTATTTATTAATAATAATCCTATTTTTTATAAGGATCTTGCTAACGAGCGTCTCGGGGCGTTAGATAACAATCAAATATACTTTTTAAAATGGTATCAATTTGGGAATGCATGCTGAAATCACGAGTTGATCGGTATAATTAATGTTTATTTCAAGTTAATATTTCTACTTTTAGTCTTCTTATCTAACACCCTCAGTTCGTTACCTTTTGCCTTTTTATAAATATGTGTTAAGGTATACTAATTGTGTTAAATGAACACAATAACCTTGTCTATAACTTTATCACACGGTATAATCTATAATAACTGTATCAAAATTGAAATAACAGTATGCAATATCAATGGAATTAATAAAGTATAATAACCATGTGTAAAAATATATAGCATAAGATAATAACAGTATTGTAAAGTAAAAATATATTGTGGATATATAACACAAGTATAATTTAATTTAACAAAAGACATTAAATCATAAATACGATAAAAGGAGTGTGTATTAAGTTTTGTCAGCATTGCGGTTAAAAAAGAATGGATAAAGTTTAGTAATAGTTGCCTTTTTTTTTTCTTTTTTTTTTTTTTTTGTTCCATCCGGTTCACTCTCTGGGTTTATTCGGATTCGGGGCTCAATTCTGGGTGGTTAGGTTCTACTCACCTCTCAATTGTTATTGTGGGAGATCGAACACGCGGTCCACTCTACCAAGTGCAGCCCCAATCACCACTTCACCAACAACCAATTGGTACTTATTCTGTTTTTAAATGCTTGCAATCCTTCTTTTAATGAATATGTTACCATACTTGCAAACATAGCCAACTTAATTAATAACATTATTGTTCATGTACTAATAGCTCACTTGATTATACTCCTAACAATCTTTCATCCACATATTAAATGTATTAAATCATTTCAGATCCACTTTTCTTAAATGATTTAGGATAAGTGAGTACATAACACAAGTACCAAAAATCGGAGGTAGAGTCTAATCTAATAAACAAGTAAACTACTACGTAATTAAATGTGTTAAATGAACACAATATCCGTGTCCAAAATTGTATAACAGTATATGAATTGAAATAACAGTATATGAATTGCAATAACAGTATGTAATGTCAACAGAATTAATAATGGAACCATGTATAAAAATTTATAGCAAAATTAAACTATAATAATAGTATGAAATTCACCAAAGAGAAAAATAAGAAATGAAAGGTTATCAAAGAAAATTTTCCAATATTATATATGGACTATTTAATTTAAATAATAGTGTCTTGTTTATATATTTTTCTTTTCGTCAATTTAAACATAAAGTGATGCATTTAATAAAAAAAACACCCCTAAATGGAAAATGATGCATTTAAAAAAAAAATAAGCGAATTGTAAAATAATATACTTAGTTCACATTAATTTATTGTGGACCACTAATGTTAGAGTCACTGTGTTTAAATGTTGCTATTTAAAAAGAAAATCATTATTATTTTATTAAAAAAAGGGTTGTTTATCGAAATTAAAGTAACTCCCTCCGTTCCTTTATTTTTGCTCCATTGTCATTTTTTGGGTCAAACTTTAAAAATTTTGACCATAAATTACCATTAATCTATAAGAAATAATATGATTATGTGAAATATTGTTATCTTCATCTCATTGTATATTTTATTAATATCATTTTTTTACAATTTTCACATGTATGAAAATGAAGATAAATACATTTTAAGACGCATATTACGTTTGGAGACCATGAATTGAAAAATCAAATGGGGCACAAAGTATAGGGGCAAAGGGAGTATTACGTTTAAAATAAAAATCACTGTGTCATAATAAAGGTAATAAGAGATCAATATATTTTATGATGAGAGTTTTCAGATAGTGATTAATATAAATAATAAAGGTCATTATGTTAAAAATGGGTTTGGTTATGTCGAATTTCAAAGGTACTAGTTTTTGGAATAATCAAAGTTGAGATTGTTTGTAGAATAATCAAAGGAGAGATTGTTTTTGGAAGACCAAGCAAAGGTGGGATTGTTTATTTCCATTTTTCTTATTAAATAAAATTTCTATTTTTTTTTTTTGAGAACATTCAATTTAAATAATATAGGGCTTGTTTGGCATCATTTTTTTATTTTTCAGTTTTTTATTTTTTTTTTAAAACAAAAAACCAAAAACGGGAGACAAAAAAGGTGTTTCCACTTTTTTATTGTTAGTTTTTAATAATATCATGATTTTAATAAGTTTGACAACTTTTTGATTCATTATATGACATAAATCAATAAATCATATGATTTTGAAAAACAAAAAACCAAAAAACAGAAAACCACGGTGATGCTAAACGAACCCATAGTTTTGTGTTTACATTATTTTTCTTTTCACCAAGTCCAAGAAATCCTTTGTAGAATTATAAAAATAGAAACACTGGTCAAAGAAAGGTCTATTATTTACCCATATATATTGTTATGTACTTTGTAAAACAGTTCTTTTAATATAATATACTGTTATTGTATGATAAATACGGTTATCAACTATTCAAAATTTTGTTTGATGCGAAGTTATTAAAATTGGAATTCTACTTTGAATCGAAAAGGGCTATCAGAATCGAATCGTAAAATCGAATCGTAGAATCGTAAGATTCTACTGACATGTATAATCAAGACGTCATATCTAAATTTAATTAAATATATTTAAATTATGAGCTTGAAACCTAATTATTGATAGAAAATAGTTGTTTACCCATTAAGCAACCAATAATTGACAATATTTATATTTATAAATAGCTATATAGGCATATTTTAAACTTGTAAGGATTTCGCTAGTTAAGAGAAATATGTAAAATCGAATAGAATCGTAAATTAAATCGTGTGACATACATAAATCGTAAAATTGTAAGATTTTAAGATTTAAATCGGATTTTAATAACAATGGTTTGATGTAAGATGCATTATGTAAGTAATCTAATGCCATTTTATGTTAGAATATTATAATTTATTTGAAACTCCCTAAAAGAGATGTGAGGGTATATCTACAAATTAAATTCATGTCATTCACAAGATAAACTTTAAAAAGATAAATGGCAAATACTACGTATCGATTGATCTAATTACAAATAAAATTATTCATGTAATATAGTATAAGAATAAAAAGTGTAGTATAAAATAACTATATATGTATATAACATGACTGTAGATACTTTAAAAAAAAAAAACAATAGTTTTACTTTAAAAAAAAAAAACACAGTATGAGCTTCCGGACGGTCTCCAAGGCATCCAAAGCTTTCTCAAAGGTCTGCGGGGGATGCATGACTATGAAGTCAATGAACTTTCCAGCTTGCAGACCATTCCGCGGTGCAAATACGAAAAGGCCTTGATCCAGACTTGTAAAGGGACGACTCGTTGCTGAAGTGAGTCAGGTAATCGCGGAGGCTTTCCTCCTCAGCTTGCTGCAGACTCATCAGTTCTGCAGTTGTCTTTTCTCGGCGGTTAGCCGTAGAAAACTTGCTCTTGAATTTGTTGGAAAGGTCTTTCCAACCAGATATAGAGCCTTCTTTCACCCCCTTAGTGATCCACGATTGTGCAACACCTTTGAGGGTTGTTGGAAAATACTTGCACCAGGTTTGACCTGGGGTTGAGATACATGTGCCCCTCATAAGAGGCAATGTGATCCTTTGGGTCTGAGGTACCATCATAAGTAATGTGCGCCGGAATTTTCACCGTCGGCACATGCATTCCAATATCCAACTTTGGAAGGGCGAGCTTGTAAGGACCATTACGACCTTCCCCCTTTGCTTAGCTGAAGGGACCTCGCTTCTCCCTCTCAAAGAGGTGGAAGTGGTTTTCGTCCCTAGCTGAGACAATTCGGGTATGGCCCGGTTTCTTCTGGGAAGGTGAGGCGGCTACGCACGTCCACCTCCCTCGAGCCTAAGCGTTCATGAACACTTCGGCGAGCAGACTCCTTGTATGTGGAGGTAGTATTGCTGCTCCGGAAACTCATCGAGTCCCGAGTTTTTGAGTGCTGTAAGAAGTGAGGGTTCTTCTTCCTTTCCTTATCGGTGTTCCATGTGTCCTCTTGCCATTTCCCCCCGAGCTCCTTGTAGGGTGGAACTTGTCCACTCTCCCCTTTACCGATTCTCCTTCTCAGGTGTCTCGGCTGAAGAGGTGAAGACTCGTGAGGTGTTGATGAGAGTTGACCCCCTTAGGCCTTAAGGAATTCCATGCAAACCGCCACGGCCCTAGCCACTTCCTCCGTAGAGGGCCCCGACAAAGGGGTTTCTTTCGGCTGGGACCGAGAGTGCAGACTGTTCGGTGGAGGACTCCTCGCATTTGACCCACTCGGCCTGGGTGAAATTGTTGGCTGGCGAGTGTGGTGTGAGGAGGAGTCTCCTGAAGCCTCCCTTTCTTGAGAATTGGGAGCTTTCGAGGAAGGAGAAGATGCTTCCGGTGACGGTGAAATTGGTTGATTTTCCCTCACCGTGATCATGTCCCTATCCTTCCGTAAGGAGGTAAAACCACCCCTCTTTCTAGCACTTTTGGTGCTTTTGCCACTCTAAGTCATGCTTTTCGCTAGGAGTGATTGATTTTTGGCTTGATTTTTTTGTATCTTCCCCACAGACGGCACAAAATTATTTCGGATGAAAACAATGGGACCTTCAGCAGGCCTTTTTTAAGGGGAGAGACTGGTCTCGGTCCAAATGATAGCTGGGCCGAGGATTTCTTGCACAGCAAAGAACACGTAAGACTGGCCTTGGGGGTTGTGCCGAGGAAGGCTCCTCCGATGCCGAAGTCAGTACAGTGTTTTAGAGAGAGAGAGAGAGAATGAGTTGTGCAAGAAATTTGGGGTGCTTGAGGTTGATTGTGAATGAATGTGAAATGAAGTGGATGTTAGCTTTTATACCTTTGCTCAATTAAAGGATTTGAGCCCTTGGAGTAAAGTGGGCTTGCCACTTTGACTGGACCGTTGACTGACTTAGTATTGGGCTGGAGAGTTGAACCTTGCATTTGAGCTTTGAATTATATCATTTGTAGACCAGGCCCAATTGAGAATTAATTGGACCCAAATAACACCTTTTCTCTTTTCACTCACCTCACTTTTTCACTCTATACTGTAGTTCTTCGCAAATACTCGTAATAATTGTAAAGGGCTGTATTTGCAATTTCATGCTATATAATAATCTCATACAACGTAGTACCGTAGTAGTTTGGTTGTTCACAAGAAAATGCACTTTAAAGATATCGCAAGTCCAAAAAACTTTATAGTACCAAGTAACCAAGAAGTGTAAATAAATGCTTGGTTAATAACAGTAAATGTAAAACTTCCCCATTAAAGTTTCAATTATTTAGTAGGGACTAGGAAAGCCGCAAACTTCAACTGAGAAATCAGTAAATTACTATGTTCATGTACCAATTAGCATATGCAAGATTAGTATACTCACACAATTAATTACGTAATTTTTTGACAGATCTGCGAATTAGGTCAGCCCAAAGCCAAGATTATGAGGCGCACTTCAAAATCAAACAGAGTAAATTTACAAGTTAAATACGTAGTAAAATAGATGAAAGTGGTTGTCCAACCACTTGATAAAGGACTGAAATAACTAAAGTTTATGCACATTATATGCCCAATGTTTTTCAGAAAAATTTGTGACAGGAGCCAGCAGCACCAAGCATTACATATTCCTAAGAAAATAAATATATACATCTAATTAACTAAGGAAACAAAATATAGAAAATTGGTTGATAAATAAATCAGTGTACCGGCTCCTCTCTACAATTGCTTGATTGTGAATCTTGTGATCTCTGAAGCTTCACAAAAGAATGTGTGCTGATTCTAATCCTAGGTTTCCCATCATTCTATACTGAACCAAAAAACAATACCAACAAGCTTAATCAGAGATTCTGCGATAGAAAAGAACATAAGCAGCGGATGTTTTTATGTCCTCCTCTCTAACTGGTTCAACAGATTTGTCGTTGAATTCATACCACCTATTACCATGCTGCACGAGGGACATAAGATGTTAGACCTTTACATTCACAACACAGCTATAAACCCCAAGATTTAAAGTAACTAATTGTGAGCCTAATAATACAGCTAAAAGAAACTTCCTAAGGATCCAGAGACGAACGATATAAATATACTATCTCCAAGGAAACTAAACTATATTCTCCAAAATATTCCTAATATAAACAGAACACATGTTATTAATCTCAGACTGCATCTCATTTTAATCCAACAATATCTTTTTTCAATCATCAAAACATATCTATATAACTAATGCCTACGTTTTTATAAATGTAACAATGCATAGCTTTATTATAAGATTTATGACACTTTCACATCAATTTCTCATCTTTATGCTTGCTTAAGTTTTTGCAACTAAAAGCTAAGTTTTAAGAGATATCTAGCAGGATCACAGGTATTATATGTAATATAAAAGCCCAAAATTAAATGAAAAAGATGATATAGAAGTAATATCATTGTAGATGCGGGTAGCTTCTGCAATACTCAAGAAGCTTTTTAAATAATTTACCATGGAACTTTGTTGCAAATATTATGAAACAAAACAGCATAGCAAACAGTAGGCATTCTCTTGGGTGATTAAGCCTCCTGTATACAACTTGAAGGATGGATATTAACGTAATTTGGGGAGACTAAGCCCATTGTTTAGAATACAAGCATTGTAAAAAACCACTTTACAGTCGAATACTGCACTCTTTTACTCAGAATAATGAATATTCCAACATAATATAATGTTTTCCCAATCTCCCAATCAAGAAATTTCAATTAGTGTCAAAGACTATCATACTGGACACATGAAATGGCAAACCTGAGTCAAAATATACATTAGACTATTTGGAAAGGGAGCACTTACATAAACCAGAGCTGTATAGTGACCACCACCCATGCAGCCGTAGTGGTTACTGATGGCATACAACCTATAGCAATTCAAGCTTGGACCACTATCATGGGCAAGGAAACCTGTCAAATCAAGCTTGTCTAAGGGAAAATCAACATATGCTTCAAGCTTGTTCTTCAAAAACCGGCTGTAGGAAAATCTTTTCAGATGGACTACTAAAATTTCAGGTAATCTCCAAAGATCTAATTTCTTGCTTGCTTGGCAATGCTGCTTGCAGCTAGGACAATACCTTGAACACAAGCATGACAATTTTTAAGTCAAAACATAGAAAGGCAAAGAAAGCAATATAATACTTCTTTAGAAATTTAACTGTTTCAAAAACAAAACAAGAACCCATTCTTGATGGGAAATTCTAGACATGAAAATGTTATTGAAGGAAAATAAGATAATACTTTAAAAAAAGACCACAAAATTTACAGCAACAACAACAACAAAGCCTTAGTCCCAAAATGATTTGGGGTTGGTTAACATGAATCGTCATAAGGAACTGGACGATATAAAGAAAAGGACATAATAAAATCATCAATTAAAAGAGTTTGAAAAAGGATATGAAATATATTTTTTAATGTATTTAGGATATGAAATATCAACGAATATATAATGGATTTAGAATATGAAATATCAACGAACATATTTTTAAAACAATAAATATATTGTTTTAACGTAGAATTGTATAAAAGTAAAGCTATGAAACATCACACTCGATATACTCTAGCAGTCCTCAGCCTTACATCTTTGCAATAAGACAATAACTTTTCTCCATCACAGGGGCCGACTAGGGAGGTAAGGTTTACAGTTAATTATATTTCAGCGTCTAATATGCGAGACAAAATAATTTAACACCCCCCCCCCCCAAACCCCTCCTTTCCACGCTAATAATGAGGCATTATATTATGTTACAAAAGGCACTTAAATCAGGATTCATTCTTGATCTTGAAAATGATTCAACTTTTAATCAGTATGATGGTGGAAACCTTTTGCTAAGAATAATGCAAACCAGAATTTCCCACTTTCATCAGTATGAAGGAAGAAATCAGGCAAAGGTGAGGCTGTCAAGCCCAAGATATTTAAAAGCAGAACTATATATAAAAGTACATTCAGAGATACATGTTTATAGTTACAATTCATAGAATGCCCTAACCAGTAATAATATTGCAGGTGAAAGAAGCTACATAAGAAGTGATTTAATCAGTCGTGATCTATACAAAAAAATTCTAATCTTTACATAGTCAATTTAAATATGGGTTAGAGTTAGACTGGGCAATAATGGCAGATACAAATACCTTTATCATACAGCCTAAAAAGGAAGAAAGGTCGATTAACATCTAACCATGTCTTTATCATCTATATATGGTTCATGGATTTCTAATTATATCATTCCCTTTCACAGCCACTCATTGTTTAGGTGACAATTTCCTAAAATAGCTCAATTAAATCCTACTCTTGAACTTAAACACAGAGGCATCCCAATTTTCACTTTTTCAGGGTACCAAAACTGCATCATAAAAAGTTAGAACCTTCCATCAATGTTCAACTACAATCCACCAAGGGAGAATAAAAATGATGTTGGATACTGTAAACCTACCAACCCTACCAGGTTAGTACATTGCACTTAGCTTATGTTCTCCGTTCTCGGCTACGACTAACTCAAGTATGTAGTGCTTTCATACAATAGGCCAAATATGATCTCAAAGTTTGTTTAGTGATCTAATAGCACCTTACCTGACATTATGATTATAACCTAGAATACTTGTACTCAAGTAGATTGGAACTGTACCATATCCAACCCTATGTAATCCTTTGCTATATGAGCCTACTGCAACTGCATATTATCCCCCAACAAACGCATACTACTCGATCTGCCAACGATAGTGGTTTTGCAACTGTTACCACAATTGCAACTGCATCCAAGATTTCACCTGGTTAATCTCTCAAATCCTAAAAGGCCTCAAACAAATTGCTTTAACCTTAACTGTAGTTGCATGTTATATCCCATTGTAAAGACTATAAAAAGACAAATATTCAACTTTGATACCCAATGAGGGGCCATAAGTTCAAATGTGATTATGCAACAACACATTAACATTTCAATTTACAGAATGAAAAAGTATCGAAGATGATGAATACTAACCACATGTCTTCAGGGCCTAATGGCTCCTCCTTCAAGAAGCCTTCCATGCATTTATACAAGGAAACTGATTCTTGAGGTTTCACATCAGGAAATATAGGTATGAAGACCTCCGGCAACGAGCTGAGATGAGAGGTATCATACCGCCTTAACATTTTTTTAGACCAGCTAACAAGCACATTCACTGTTGTAGTTTTAACAGGAACATCCAGAGGTTTGCCCAATTTTAACCTCTGACCCCTTAATATACCTCGTTCATCTGAAATGTGAAATTGAAAGTCAGAGGGCACATAGAAGTCAGATCCCATTTCATCATCCGAGCTCCACGAATTGTCTGAATTTGACAAACTCCCTGACCCCATCTTGGTAAACTCGTCATCTGAATTTTCAATATCATCATAATCATCTTCATCCATATTCAATAAAGGCTGAAGCAGTTTTATGTAAGCATCATGAATCTGAGTTCCATCTGATATACTAGGAATTCTTGCCACCAAAGGGGTGCCAAACAGACTCCAATGAGGTCTTCCGATTCGAAAGCCAAATTGCCTGAAATAACATAATAATTATGGAAGATACAATATCTCTATTTATAGACAAAGACAATGCATAAAACCACTTCCCCAGTTGCATTGTACTCTTTAGCCCATTTCCAAATGAGTGCCCTAATTATTCATTATCAGTCTATGAACAACCTAACACACAATTCCCAAAAAAAAAAAAGCAATTACTAAAAGTATTGGTACTAAAACTATTCTTTTTATTCATTTCTTGCCAACTATGACAGCAATAAATTGTATAGAATAATGATTAATAAATACACCTTCAAGAGTACAAAATACAGTTTAAAAATTGAGTGAAAACTTGCAAGCACAAGCATAGACTTTTACTTCAACAGCTACATTTGCAAGCAGAAAACAACACAGACAGTACCCCTACTTTGTTACAGTTGGGATAGACCTTATTGCCTGAAAGGGCTAAGAAAAGCCATGTAGTACATCAACATCTAGCAAGAATATTTTACTGTTCCCAAAATTTGCAGAAACCACACCATTTAAAACGCACATGCAGGACAACTCACATATTTTCATTTGATGACTTAAACTGTTCAACACCAAAAATTTGGTATGTTTATTGTTCAATTCATAAAGTCGAACTAATTTTGCAAATAATCATATAAAAAAAATCATATTTTTTTCCATCTGTTTTAGTTGCAACATTTTGACTTTTACGCTTGTCAATGCACAATTCTAATCCTTCATATCTCTAATAATGATAAGTAAAAAATATATATCTTTGATATTGTGAAAATATAAATTGAGGCAAATCTTACATGACTATATTTTTCCGAACATATAAATCAACAAAGGGGGTCAAATGGGAGAACGTGGATAGTGTAAATTTCTAAATGTTGCAATTAAATGAGAACGGAGAAACTATAATATATTCAAACCTACACTATGTTTAAATAAAAGGAAAAGCACGGACTAGAGACAGGCATTACAATGTCTGGATAGCAATTGTGAGGGTGAGGGAAATGGAGGAAAAGGGAATAGTAGGAAAAAATTTCCCTCATTGCTTAAGATCAAATGTCTCCAAAATTCGAAGAGACAGGAAAGTGACAGATTTTTTTGTAAAATCAGTCATAATGCTCTAAAAATTCTCTCATTTGAATAATAGGAACCTCTTACCAAGTTACCTTTCCATTACTTTTTGCTCTCTCTCTCTCTCTCTCTCTACAATAAAATGGATAAAATCTCCTGTTTAATCTAGGGTTATGATCTAATTTCTCTCTCTCTCTCTATACAATAAAAATGGATAAAATCTCCTGTTTAATCTAGGGTTATAATTTCTCTCTCTCTCTCTCTCTCTCTCTCTCTCTCTCTCTCTCTCTCTCTCTCTCTCTCTCTCTCTCTCTCTCTCTCCCTCTCTATACAATAAAAATGGATAAAATCTCCTGTTTAATCTAGGGTTATGATCTAATCTCTCTCTCTCTCTCTCTCCTCTCCTCTCCTCTCCTCAATTCAATAACTCTTGCATACTGGTTTGCTAATATGATCTACTTGTTGCTTCTCTTTAGTAATATTTATGTGTGTTGCCTTTGCTTATTAATAACAGGAGCAATCGATTCATACAATGTTCCTTTATTCTCCTTTTACTCTTTTATGGAATATGAATATTATGTTAATGATTTTCTCTATCCCTCTTTCCTCTTCTCTCTTATCCAAACGAGGTAAATGACTTTCTAACTCCCTCAATTCTCCTTCCATCCACTTCTTGATTTCCTAATTTAAATACACAACTAAGGTACATACTTATAAACCATAGATCTATTATTTTGATACATTTAATCATCAAAACGACTTTTGGCTGCAGCAAGGAGCCAACTCTAACCATTGCTTTTGTCTCTAAACGATTACTAGCCGCGGGAGGGCAAAAAGAGAGAAACATGGAAGAAAGTCTGGAAAGGTTGATGCATAGCATTGAGAAGACAAATTGTAACACATAACTAAAAGAGGGGGTGGGGGGGGGGGGAGAATTTAGTGGCGACCAGGCAAGCAGGGGTTTCTTTCTCTCTTCTATTTTCCATTCCTATTTTTCTCTTCTTTCTACCTTATAAAAATTCAAGACGACCGTTAATATTTTAACAGATGTATGCTATTAATTAGAAAATTAACACCTACAAGCAGTATATATTTGTAATTTTTCTTTACCTTTTCGTACCTCATTTCTGTTATTGAAAAAGCAACATGCACATAATTCAAGACATCAAATCAAAACAAAGTCATGCTTACACAAAATGTACCAAAATCAGACTACCAAATTAGCTATTCTGCTTGACACTTTTTGTCCTAACTTGCTACCATTACATGGAGATTTTGAATGAGAAGCAACTGAGAAGGATACTCTTACACAATAAGGTTTGGGCCTTGCCAGTTAACATGATGTCAAACAGGAAGCAATAGTGAGATACATACCTTTCACACCTCTGATGCATAAAAACCACCAAATAGCCACTCTCACTCTCTTTTGGTAAACGGTACGCTACAAGACAATCTTCATCCCTAATCAATGCCAATGAATCGGATGGATTTTCCAGGGATCGGATGATGCAGTGACTGTAAACCTTCAAAAGGAAGCAAACTTCACATATGAAGCAGCCGTAAGAGTAATCTCGCTAAAATCCCAATTGAAAGATAACAAGCTAATGTTGCCCAAAGAGATGTATGCCTGCAAGTAAGCAACTTCCCTTGGTCCCAAACCAAACTTCTAGAATTACTCAACCAAAATTCCACCTAGTCTAAAAGATGTCAAAAATCTCACTTGTCTAAAATATTTTCTTGTTATCGAGAAATCCACATAAAATTTCAAGCAGTTCAAAAGATGAGAATTTAAATCCTAAGTGATGAGTTTGATGACCAACAAGGAGACTTTCATCTAACAATACCAAATTATGAATAAAATAAAAAACTAACCAAAATAAATTGGGAACAGCAACTTTTTAATCAGGGAGATTGGAAACCATAAGATATGCATCAGTAACTTTTCAGAAGACAGTAACTTGCAAGTTGAGCTAAATCAGCAGCTATCTACTGACAATCACAAAAGTTAGGGTAATGTAATAACTAAGCTTTGTCTATTTGCAAAATTTCAAACTTACAACTTTTCCCAACCCAGCCATACTTGACCCAACCCAACCCAGTCACCACTTTAAACGAAACAGAAAGAAGTTTCACATGGAAAAGTTACTTGGGCATGATGCAGTCCCAAGTATGAAATACTTTTGTATAATAACGTTTAAGATACAAGGGAAGAAAGCAACAATAAACTAAATCCTTAATAAACAGTTGGATGAGTTCAATGGCAAAATAAATCAGCAGATAATGCAACATACCTCAGCCACAAAGAGAGTCTCATCATCTTGCAATGAAACGGCTGTGCTGAGGGCTTGAATAAGATCCTTGCACCTTCCATACTTGGGTACCGTTACAGTAAGCGATGATGGAAGCACACTTCCATCAGTGCTCAAAAGAGTAACAGTCATTGTTCGCATAGTTGTTGAAGGCAAAGGAAGCGACAGGTACATAAACGGATCAAAAGTGACTGAGACCCTTTTGCAGATAGGACAAACCAGCTTAGATCGAAATTGACCCTAAATAGACAGTAAAAAGCGTGTTTTAGATAGATGCCCCCATAAGGCATAAATATGAAATTCTACAATCATCCTGTCACATAATAATTTTGTGCCACGCGTTACCAAGCATCACATATATGTGTCCACCGCTTAAAGAAAGTTATTCTTATAACATTATATTAACAGTTCTAAACAATCTTGAGAGAGATTCATTAGGAAACTGAAAGCCTGTAAGAAATATAAAATCAACTAACATGTTTATACACATTTAACATTATAAAGACGAAAAAAATACACAAAGCTCACATGGTACAGATCAACTATTATAGAGTCATTACGAGCTAGGTGAATCTGCCAATGTTCATCTGCCACTTTATCAACAGGACGACCCTCAGTATCACCAAGCTGTATATATGGCTTGTGTTTCACACGATTCAAGTCTTCATGGAGCCCGTCCAACAGAAAAGCCAGAAACTCCTGTATTCAGTAGAGTTCAGTGGACAAGATAGTCGCAGCATACAAGTGAGACACAAGTTACATAATGGCACTTCTTTTGTATTAGACTTACACTCTAATATATGTGGTTACATCACAGATTAAATTGGTTGCAGGAGAAAGCTGAACTATGAAAAAGTTAAAACCCCTCAAAACTTTCCCCTATTTAGAAAGAAAATAATTTAGCTTAACCCTGAATACCACCCCCCCCCCCACCCCACCCCAAACTACCTTATCTTTCCAAATGTACAGTTTGCCTTCACTGGATGGAAATGAGCCAAGAAGCGTGTGGTGGAAAGACATTAACCATCACTTCTAAACTTTAGAAAACTTTACATGTTCCTAGTATGCTCTTCCCGTAACATTATTCCAAACAAAACAGAACTTACCTGGGAATCATGTTGGTTATAGCCACAAAATTGAGGAGCGAAGTTCTCTAAAGTTGACTTAAATAATCTTGGAGCAACAGGCATACCACCTGGAGCCCACAACTTTCTTAACAAATCCCCAAAAGACAAAGCAAGTTCACCCTGTCCAAACGAAAAAAGCATTCGGAAAACTTGAAATGGCATAAACAGCAAGGAACTAAAGCAGCCAATGCAGCATTAGGACCAATAAAGAACCACTCACATTCATCCCTAGAGGATTTTCGTAGTTTATATCTTTCTTAAAATCTCCAAGGAAATAATCAAGAAATTTAGGAGTGTGAGCTAAGCACTGAATTGCACTGTTCATGAAGCAGGTATTGCCAAGATTTAGGAGTCCGGTCAAACCCAGCACACCAGTTTCTCCATGTCCTTGAGTGCGTGATTGCAAACTGAGAAGTGGTGAAGAAGAACTCTGATTATCAACGGTTCCATTCATCTTACTCGGCCAGCTACTGCAAGAGCCTCCACTGCTGGACCTTTCTTGCATGGAAAACTCAGTTATTTTTACTTCTGCATCCTTGGCAAAACTTGGCAATCCAAAAACTTGTAATTCAAGAAGAGCCTATAATATATAAACATTAAGACAATAGAAAGTCTTTAAAAAATTATAAAAGAAAATAAAAAACAGCTAATTGCCCCAAAAACAAAACAAAGATACAAAAGACTGATCCTCTCGCACAATTGAAGATCCAGGTTATTTAGGTAACTTTGCTAAAAACCAAGCAAATCATCTTAAATGTGATGCCACTATATGCGCATGTACAAGCTTAATATACATAAGGTCACATTTCAAAAGCCAGCAGCAGTAACATCAATTTAGAGATATTTGGAGACAAACTAAAATGAACGAGCTATCATCAATATAACATATGAATCAGTGCAACAAGAATTACCTCTTCCGCGGCCTGGCCTGGACCGCCATAAGGAAATATTTTACCATCTCTCTCAAAAAAATTGGTCATTTGCCCAGAAAAGTCCCAAATACAAACCTATTTCATTCAATACAGTTAGAAAATTGTTCAGCACAACATACATTCACAAATGCAGCATTTTCCATTAGCAACATACCATATACGACTGCACATCAAAAATCTCATAAGCTTGTCTGTACAGCTGGACCGGATTATCCTGGAATGATTCACATGCTGCATCAGGTAAGCATCAGAGAGAAATTACCAAGAACCTGCTTACTCTAAATTTAAAGGGCGATAATTAAAAAACGGGGAAAAAAAGTTTTAAGATAAAAATATGAGGAAAAGAAAGGTTAGACCTCAAAATGTCTTCTTTGTTTAAGTAAGGTAATCACCATTTATTTTTCAGCATCACCATTTCCTTTCACAACCACAACTACTCTTTCCCTTCTACTTTTTCACAACCACTCCCACTACTCCCCCCACCTCCTACTCTATTAAAACCGTCACAGCCGTCTTAGACTTCGGCTGCCGCTCAACCCCTCATTTAATGTAACATATATTGGTTGGTGTTGTTTTATGGTGGTGGGGGTGAATTCTTTTGGCAAATGAAGGCTTTCTTAAGGTTAATTTAGTGTGTTTTAGTGATGGTGTGTAGGTTTTCAAAAGGGTGAGGAGTTTTCAGGGTGGTTTGGTTGGAGGCTTAATTCATGAATTTGGGAGGGTTACTCAAACTTGTAGAGCTTACATTCCTTCTGGTCTCAAATTTTTCTCATTTCCCAGTCTGTCATGAAGAAGGTTACTCAAATTTGTAGAGCTTTCTTGTGGGAGGGAAGACATGTTGCTCTGAAAAATGTTCCAGTTGCTTGGAAGTATGTTTGCAAAAGAAAAACCCATGATGGTCTTGGGTTTAAGGATGGGGATATCTGGAATATTGCTGCCTAGGGTAAGTTGGTGTAGCTCATTGCTCTCAAAGCTGATATGCTTTGCATTAAATGGGTGCATAGCATAGTGTTTATATCAAAGATAGTAACTGGTGGGACTATAAGCGCCCTCGTTCTGCTAGGTGGGGATGGGAAAACATCTGTAAAGTCAAAGAGGTTTTGAAGCACGGTTCTTTTCAGCATTCCTGGGCTACTGGGCTACTGATGGACATAAATACACTATTGCAGATGGTTATACTTGGCTTCAGGGTGCTCTTTCTTCTGCTCCTTGGACTGCTTGGGTGTGGAACAGGTACAACACCCCTAAGCACTCCTTTATCTCTTGGTTGGTGGCACTAGGAAAGCTTAAAACTAGAGACAGACTCTTGTTTTGGTATCTGTGCTTCTGACAGCTGTTTGTTTTGTCGGAATCAGTCTGAGACTGTCAGCCATCTCTTTTTCAACTGTGACCATACTTACCAGTGCTATCTTGCGGTGAGTCAGTGGACTGGAGTAAGTATTTCGCAAGGTAGCAATGCCCTTATGTGCTGGAAATGGTGGAAGAATAGATATGCAGGGAAGGTGAAAAAGAAGATAATGCTTTGTATCTTTACTGCTATCATCTATCATATATGGAAAGGTAGGAATAAAGCTCTCTGGGATTCTGCTGTTCTTAGAATAGATGTGCTTTGTAACTTTATTAGGCAAGATGTTAGATGCAAGATTCATAGCCTAGGTAAGGTAAAATGAAAGATAGTGACCATATTTGGATCACCTCTTTGCTGAACGGGGCTTAGGTTCTCTGTTGCTGTTTTGCTAATGCCCTGTTGGGCTGCATTTGGCTGTCTTGTTTGTTAGGTTGTAATGGCATGGTTTCCTTGATGAGTTAATATAATTTCTTGCTTGCTTACCAAAAAAAAAAAAAGAATTTGGGAGGGTTTGAATGGTTAGAGGTAGTTTTCATGGTGGTGGACTTTGAGGAGGCTACTAGGGTAGTGGGGGTGGGTTTTGGTTGGGTGGGGATGGGTTTAAGTGGTTTTATGGTGGGTGAGTTTCGGGTGATTGGGTGAGGTGGTTGGTTGTTAGGTGAGTGCTGGTCAAAGTAGTGATCAAGATGGTTATGTAGTAGAAGAGAGAAAGGAGGACTTTGGAGTAATTGAGTGGGAAAAGGGAATAATTAAATTAACTTAACAAACTAGATGATCATCCTTGTTCATTACATTACCATTTCTTGAATACCCCAATCCAAACGCCCCTTTAGTTCTTAAAATATGTCAAAACAATATATAGTACAAAGAGACTAATCCATAAGGACCCATAATGGCAATAATATAGATACAAGTCAAAAAACAATAAAAACACCACCAACCTCCACTGGTGGAGGCAAAACACCATAAATAAACCATTATTAATTACATGGTGTTGTACGCAAAATAACTAAACCATACTCATTCAAGAACACTCTAAATTGCTCAAGCCTATGATACAAAGATACACAAGCAAAATTTCTACCTTTCTAAAAGTATGAGCAAACTCTTATAAATAATGTTAAGACTATTATGCCCCTAAAAATGTTTATTTACGTATTTGCCCCTTTTAAAAGTATGACCACACTTTATGAATAGTGTTGAGACGATTATATCCCTAAAATGTTTATTTACGCTCTACTTTTTCCTTAAAAAAAATGTTAATTGTTTTTTTAACTCTTTAAAAATAGTGGACATTTAACCCTAAAAATATTTGTTTAGATATTTTCCCCAATTAACGCTACTAACAGCGCCAAACCGAAAGAACATCTGGATATGGCTAGCTATGACGCGTGCATCGCGCGCGTTAGCCGCCCTAGTATTAACAAAGAATGATTGAAATCCTAAAGCGTTAGGCACTTCAATTTATACTCATTTGACTATTCATTTATTAATTGGGAAAATAATGACTACAACTACTACTCATTTAAAGCATTACGAGGTGGCAGCTCCAAGAAATCTCTCGCTATACTAATCTCCCAACTCATTGAGAATGAAAAGGTCAGCATTTGTTTGCAGGACATTCCATAATCATTTTACACAATCTTAATTCATGCATTTATATCCATTGACCTCATCTATCTTTCTTTTTTTTTCAGTGTATATGATAAAGATGAAGTATGTAAAAAAAAAAAACAAGACCAAACTGTTCTAATGGAAGTACTGACCAAACGTCTTCAACACTGCAAAAAGGTGGGTTCTAAATAAAATTGTCCAACAACCCCTTGTTCAAATGTTCTTCTCCACTTCCTTATAAGAAAAAATCCCGGTGAAACAAGTAGTTCAGTCTATGAACAGAGCAGATCCATGCTCAATACACTATATAGAACAAATCCGCCCAAGTCCACCAAGCAATTGGTGACATAGGTCTCAGATGTCAGAAATCAGATCAAGAATTCACAAGCAGCTAAAGAAAATGAGTAAAAATGGCAACGTATAAGAGTAAAGCCATTACATACATGTGGCATTAATAGCAATCGGGCAATGAAGATAATTAATAACTGAATACCTCAAAAAATAAATAAATAAATAAATAATTACAAAAATTAAAAATAAAAAAGGGCTCACCATCAGAGATATCCTCACCACAAGAGAATCATTCTTCTGCATTACAGACAACCTAATCTGAATAGTGAAAACATCCTGCTCATCATCTTCTGCAGCCAAAGAACATCCCATATCCTTAATTCTTGTGCAATAATCACTATGCCTGTAGGGACAAGCAAGACATCTTCACGCTCATGACACTGAATGAAAACATTGCATGTTAACAATCCCCTAGCAATTTAGATGACTCGGAATGTACAAAAAACCCAGCAACTCCAAGAACAATCACAAATCCAATGCTGGTCCTTGGGTTCAGATGGAAAACTTGGGTTTATTCTAAGATGATGTGAATCAATAAAGAGAAGAAATGAACTAAGACTATGATTAATGCACAAAACTCATAATCTAAGAAATAACCTAACCATCAAACACATTATGACACTCAACTAGATAGTGTCAAAAAGACTAGTACACCAGTCTCTCATTCATTAATAACTCCACTTCAGACGGATTTACTGTAATACCCCGTATTTTTATACGTATTTTGATTTAAATAAGTATTTCTTAAAGTATTTAAATAATTCGAAATGAATTATTTATGGTTTTTATTAATTTAAAAAAAAAATTTAACTAAAAAGTTTATTTTTAATTATCTAATAATCTTGAAAATATTTTATTTTATGATTTAAAAATATTAGGGCATATTATTTTATAAAAAGTTAATTTTAAAGTCAATGATATTTAAGGAAAGTCAAAATACTAGTTTGACTAGGAAAGAAATCATTAAGGGTAGTAAAGAAATTTTAAGTAGGAAGGATATTCAGAGGGGGTATAAATACCCATCATATGCCTAAGGTGGAGTGCACCCAAAAGGTAAACTCTCTCTCTCCTCTTATTTTCTTTTCCCCTTAATTTTTCTCCTTCCCCTTTATTTATTTATTTTATTTTAATCACCACCACACACACCGACCGGCCACCACACGCCAACACCAGCCGGCGGCCACCACCACCAGCACTCGCCGGCAGAAGGAGCCACCAGCGCAGCAGCAACCAGCCTAGGTGGTTGGGTGCGCCGGTGGTGTTCGAAAAAAAAAATTATATTGTTTTTGTTTTTAATTAAATATACCCTAAATCTAATTATTGTTTTTGGGTTTTGTGATGATTTTATGATGTTTAATAATAAGTATTTTGTATATTAATTTTCAGATTTGGTTTTAAATTAAAAAAAAAAAAAAAAAAAACCCAAATTAAAAACCCTAGGTTTCTAAACTAATGTATATTGATGAAATTTGATTGTGGTTGATTAAAACTGTTGAAATTAATGTTTTTAAACTAAATTACAACAATTTTATAAGTTTTAATGATGCTGGAATTTTTATATATAAACTATATGTAAGTTTCTTAAAAGGATTTTTAATTACCCATTAATTGGGAATAAAAGTAAAGGTTTTAAATTAAATTTCAGATTATTTTAGAGGGTTTATGAGTGATTTAAAGAGAGTATATATTGCTGGAAATTTTTGTGGAAGAGGTATTAATACTTCTTTATAATTTAGATTTGTAGGAGACTTTCAAGTGAGTGATTTTATTTAGTTGTGGCAATTTTGAGATCATATTCAAGGTACGTTCGCGTACTTAGTTATTATTTGAATATGTAGAAGCATGCTAGGCTTTTCTTAGTTAATTCCAAGTAGCATCATGATAGGTGTGGGTTGGAAATTGTTGATTGGATTGATGTTGGTAAATGATTTCTGATGTGTGAATTATTTGTGATGAATTGGTGATTGGAATTAATTATGTTGACATGTTGGTTGTGAACCACACTTTTATTATTGGCATGTTAGAGAGCATGTATAATTAAACTAAATGTTTAATTTGGTTTGGAATATTGAAAAGGAATTTTATGGTGGATCATATAATTTTTATTGATTCTTTAAGCATGAGAATTGAGCTATTAAGTGTCGAAGTACACGGGAATAAATTATATTGCGGTGCCTATGTGCACTAAAGGTGTTTCTAACACCGAGGGATAGGATTTGTGGCGCATTATGCGTTTAAGGTGTCTTTGACACTGAGGTAGATTAAAAAGGGTTCAACTATTAAATTTATGTGGTCACTAATTATTCAAGACTTAAATTGGTATGTTTGATTGCTTGAATGATTTACAATGTTTGATTGTGCTATGGCTTGAGAGTCGTCACCGAATATAATAATATGTAAACAACGTAAAGTGAAAGAGATTACACACCAAAACTCTTGGAACGTATATACTTTGAGTATGAACATATGGGGGGAGTTATAGGGTTTTATATTTAACCATGACTTTTACAAGGAGTGCAGGACGCAGGATTTTCCTTTTTATTTATCTATTGCGTAGGACGTCCAGTCACTTCATGTGACATTTGCCTACCCGGTTAGCTTCTGATGTAGTTTACCTCAATTTATTTGAGGCATGGATTTGGTTGGAAAGTCGTTCAATGTGTAATCAAAATTAAATGAACATTAATATTGGTCTAGTTAGGTGTTGAATGTTTTGTGTGCTTGTAAACAGGGGCAACACAGTATGTGTGTTGTTAGGATGAAAGCATGTTAGTGTATTTTATTACGCTTATGTACTCAGCATTGCTGATTGTGTGTTTGTATGTTTGGTTGGCCTTGTCTTTAACTTAGCCCTACGACGACCCATTTCTGATGGCGAGTAGTGGGGACAAGTAAAGAGAAATTTTTTAGGTAATGAAGCATTTTCATAAAGGGCATAAATGAAGAGCGAATCATGCTTAATTTTCATAGGAATATGATGTGTTATATTTGTTTTAAATATTATTTATTTTATTATGATCACGAGACTAGCGCAAAGGTTTTAAATATTGATTGGGCTTTAAGGGCCTACAATGGTTCCAAGTTGTAGGTTGACTTTGTTTGACTTTTACTTTCGTTTGATTTGACTTTTCAAGTTGAATTGTTTTGAATGGTTTTAAAGGTAGTCTTCCGTTGTGTGTGAGTTTTTGATATTTGCCTTAGCCGTTTTCACGGTGGCGGTAATGTCTTAGATTTTCCTATTTCGTATTTTAAAAGGGTAAAACGGGTATTTTAAAGAAAAGGAATTTCTAGGGTGTTACATTTACCCCTTAAATAAGAACACACACGAGCTAGTTCATAGCCATGTTGATAATAAACTACATTCATTCAGTTCAAATAAACAAGGACCAAAAGCATTCAAGTGAAAAGCATAAGAAACTAACAACAAGAGTCGATGCAGTCTTAGGCTACATTCGGTTCAAAATGTTAAACTGTTTAAGCATATATTTACTTGTAAAAATATGATCATAAAAAATACCAGACTAAAAAACTGTTCAAAAAAAATATGATCATAAAAAATATGATCATAAAAAAATATGATCATAAAAATTGTTCAAATATGATCATAAAAATATGATCAAATATGATTGTTCAAATATGATCATAAAAAATATGATCATAAAAATTGTTCAAATATGATCATAAAAATTGTTCAAATATGATCATAAAAATATGATCATAAAAATTGTTCAAATATGATCATAAAAAATATGATCATAAAAAAATATGATCATAAAAATTGTTCAAATATGATCATAAAAATTGTTCAAAAAAAATATGATCATAAAAAATACCAGACTAAATCATATCTATTATTAAAAAGTTTATATCATGAAACCTTATATTAATACCTGTTTGGCAGCACATTTTTTATGGTTTGTTTTTATTACTTCTACCTTTTTTTAATCGCAACGTTTGGAATTTTACACTATTCACACAAAATTCTCTAATTGTTTTTTGTAATTTATACGCTGGAAAATTTGCAGTCATGTGGGATCTTGCTAGATTCATCTCATAATACACTTTCATAACATCAACTTTATATAATTTTTGCTACAATATAACTTAAGATATTTTAAGTTACAAAAAGTGCAGCATGAAATCCCCAACCTTGCGGTTGAAAAAAGAGAGGAAATACATTACTAAAATACTATGGTCAAAGTTAGTATATGAATAGTGTGTAAAAGTCATACGTGTCAATTATTCTAGAACGGAAAGAGTATCTTTATTATTTCATTCATGACAACAAAAATTAAGCAAAATATTATGTACATAAATTACACATTACTAAGAATCTAATGACAACTCATTTGATAATATTAGTAACAAGTTCCTTGACCTAAACTAACCCAAGCTAATAATAGTAATATAAGAAACAATATCTCTAATAATTAAGTACAAGAAACCAGATTTACAACCATAAACTTCATGATTACCATAACAAACCAAGAGTAGTAACACAAAACTAAGCTAAAGCCATATAACCAAGAATTAATCCTTTGTCCACAAAGATCGTCTTCCTAAATTTGCTTCAATCACAAGCTTCTAACCCATTGTAGCTTATTGCTTTAAAACTTAAGTTGTTGGAGGCCTTTACAGTGCCATCACATGTATCAAAGCACCCAAACCATAAAAAATCTCAAGAAACCCTAAATTAAAAACTAAAAAAAAAAAAAAAAAAAAAAAAAAAAGACGTCAGATCTGCTTGCGCCCGCCTCGACCCCTTCCGCCATCACTATCCTCACACTTGTCACTACTAGACAGGAGCGTTACCCTTCTCGCTTGAGTTGCTCCGTGCCACCGGCCATTCTCAAACTTGGCTCGCGCCCTCGTTGCTAAAAGACGAAAGTTCATCACATGGATTCGGTGTCAAAACACTCAAACCATGACGGTTTATATCCTCCTATGTTCTTGTAAACTTTCTTCATGTCATTATTGACTTACTCTATCCAAATCATTTATGGCCTCCTTTGACTTCTTTAGAAATCTACCCCAAAATTCACTTTATTGACGTTTTACATGCCCATTGTCCAATTGTGTTTACAATTGAAAGGATTAATGGTGTTTTTAGCAATGGCGGTGGATCGGGCAGACTGAGAGCATTGCGGTGTCAGATATCCATGAGGGAGGGAAGAATAGTCAACCCTCACATGGGTGTAACCTAGACTGGATGCTCAAAGGCATAGATCTATTAAGTTACATAAGTTGTTTAAGTGAATTTAAAGGTGGTTTTGGAGGCAAAATTGGGTGGTTGGCCATCAGCAAGTCTGATTGCTTTGTGGGTGGACCAACTAAAGGATTTTTTAGCACATACTCACATAGGTGACAACGAATGTTGAAGGGTGTAAATAGTTATTTTTTAATTATTGGTTTATAGTAGAATACTAAATCATAATTCATTTGTATTCTTAACAACCTAAGGAGTTAGGGATTGGATAGTTGCATGTCTTTAACTTGGCTACAAAACCCCGTGCATCTCGACAGAAAAAAAATAAACAAATATATATCTTTTCACTTTAAAGAGAAATATTGTTAACGAAAATTGTTAATTTTCAATAAATTGACACATCACACGTGATATGGCAATTATTATCAATTTATTGTTATTTTGACATATGAACTTCGAATTTGTAATTTTTACTCTGTAATATGTTTATATTTTGGGTTATTCTACAATTTATAGTTTGAAGAGTTCAGAACATTTACTTCTTTTGGTAAGTGTTAAGTATCACAAAGATTATCCACTTGGCACCTGCGTCAAAGACACCAGAAAAGAAAACCTTTTCGTCGCATTTTTAACGTGCTTGGAGAGCCTGTTGATAATTTGGGTCCAGCTGCTTTCCTTGCTTGCATCTGATCTAAGCCTATCGCCTGCTTCCAACTGCCTTTCTATTGTGCCCAGAGGGACCAGCTTCATGCAAATCAGCGGCCACCAAAATAGCAGAATTGCTGCCTTTTCTGGTTCTGCTTCCACTCCGCCGAACATCCAGTGGATCTCAGACTTCATTGGTTGTGATATTGATCTTACGCAGGTTCTGAAAGAAAGAATATAAAGACTTGTAGAGACCTGCCCAGTGCCGGAAGGTCAAGGAAGTTGGTGACCTGATGAACGGCAGCCGGCGACAGAAGCCCCGGTGAACGGCAGCTGCTAGTGCCCCTAGAAATTCTTGGATTTTTCCCCTTTTTAGTCTGACTGACATCATTCTTGAATGAAGAAAAGTTCAGATCCAACCACCTCAAAGTGAACCTCCAGCTAGGGGTGTACAAAAATTGGCCCGGACCTGAAACCGGACCTGAACCGACCTGAACCGGACCGGACCTGACCCGGACCTGTTGATTCAGGTCTGGTCCCGGTTCTTAAAAATCCAGGTTCCCGGTCCCGGTCCGGACCCGGTCCAAACCCGGGGTTTTCAGGTCTGGACCTGAAACCCGGGAAAATCGTAATTAAAAAAAAAAAAAAAAAAAAAAAAACAAGAAAATATCTGATTCTCTCAGCCTCCCTCAATCTCTTTCATATTTTTAAGTTCTAACCCTAACTCCCTAAGCCCAAACTGATTCTCTCAGCCTCCCTCAATCTCAACTTCTCAACGCGGTTGTCCCAACTCGCTTCGGCCACCGCCCACTGCCGACACCTCCCTCATTCTCTCAGGCGATGCACACCGATAATATCTGGTAAGTATTTGCTTATAATTTTGGTATTTTTAATTCGAAATAATAAATTTAAGTGTGAGAATTTATATGTTTATTCTTGTTTCAAATTTTCAATTGCTTTTAATGATTGTTTGATGTTTGCATGTTGAATTTCTTATTTTTAGTTCATCTCTTTCGAATTTCTGTTTTTTTTTTGGTTTTTTTTGAGTTTAGGGTTCATAAGAATTAAGAAGTTTAGGGTTTAGGGTTCAAGTGCGAAATTTAGTTCGAAATTTTGTGTTTATTATGATTATTAAGATTAATTTAGTGCGAAAATTTGTGTTTATTCCTAAACTATAAGTTATTCAAGGTAATATATGTCTCCACTTGAATTATGGGTTGGGGTGGTAGGGTGGGTTGGGGTGGGGTTATGGTGGGGTTACGGTGGTACAGTTCTGGTATGTGGGGGTTAAGGGTTAAAAAATGCTTCCCTGAGAGCGTCACAAAGTTGCAGAAATTGCAGATATTGGATTTTCAACAATCTAGTGTTAAGAGTTTTGCAAGCTAAGTCATTTGAGGCACTTGTATACTTGAGGTAGATTGGTTGATATGCCACCGAGGTTTGGGGAATTAAAACCTCTCCAAATTTTAGATGTGTTTATAGTCAGAAATAATAACGGTATAGATGTGTTGGGTAACTTGAGTGATCTTGTTGGAAAGCTCATAATCAAATATGAAAAGCTTCCTTCCAATCCTGGTGCATCACGGACAGGTGATAAAGGTATATTGAATAACATGAATGTAACAGACTTGTCATTGGCATGGTCATCTTCGTGTTCAAAACCAGCCAACCTAGAAGAGTTTGATTACTTTCATCCACCTCAAAGGAGAAACATTTCCCCTACAACTTATGTTTGGAAAGGCTGTTTTTGATAGCCTTATTTCTATACATATTGAAGACTGTCGAGGATGCAAAGTTCTGCCAGCTCTGAGTTCATTGCCTCATCTGAGAGCTATTCAACTTTGGGACCTAAATGTCTTGGAATACGTGGAGCCTGATGTCGATAATAAAAAATTTACAAGTTCTGGTTCATCTACACTCAGACACTATTTTCCTTCTTTGGAATACCTGTTGTTGGCTAATTTACCAAGATTGGAGGGATGGTCACGTTATATACAACAACAACTCCTAATCCCTTCTCATAATCTTACACTTTGTGTGAGCAATTGTCCAAAGATGTCATCGATGCCTCTGTTGCGAAGTCTTGTGTCATTAGAGGCACATGATATCCATGTGAAATTTCTAAGGCATCTCTTATCAACTACTGCAGGACCATCTCCTAGTGCCACGTTGAGGAAGCTTGAAATTGTCTCAATTTTCGATCTTAAGTCCACTTTTCCAATTAGAAATCTGAATGCTCTAGAGTCACGCGATCAAAGGGAAAACAACTCGTTGGAGAATTTATGTATTTCTAGTACTTGAGAGTTGAGACTTAAGAGAATTTATGTAATTTTATGAGTTTTCGTGGACTTATTTGTATTTTCGGTGGACTCATTTGTATTTTTGGTGTTTGAGAATCGGGACTTTATAGACTTTATGTAGTTTTGTAATTGATAATTTTGGTTTGTATGTAATTATTAAATTATGCAACAGGTCTAAAAATCACAAAACAGGTCCATATGCAGGTCCATATGCAGGTCCAACAGGTTTTGTATTAAAAAAAACGAAAAAGACACAAAACAGGTCCATTCAGGTCCAAACCCGGACCGGACCTGATTTACCCCTACCTCCAGCACAAGTCAATGGACCTTCAATTCAAAAATATATTCGAATCCCCTAGTATACTGTAATTGCACCTGTGCACCACTAGTTTTAATTTATAATTTCAATTACACCATTTGATTTCAATAAATTTCTTTGAAGACTCCAAACCCATGAGCAAAATCTGCCGTTAAGTTCATACTAGTACTACAAGTCTACAATTAAGCAACTAGCCCCAGTACATGAGCCTTTAGTTGCAATTGATCCGGGCTACTACTACTACAAAAGTGTTTAATTGTAATTCCTAAAAAATCCACGATAAAGGAATTAACCTATGTAGTTCAAAATTTGCACATACTTTATCAGTAAAAATTATCCACAACAGATTACAAACGAAATCAACCAACGAAATAAATGCATACCAGAATTGTATTTTGATCGAATGATCACAAACATGAACAAATTAGAACAAAACTTCAACGCAAATCATGATAATCAAAATTCGTAAAACGAGAAATTGAAGGCATGCAACAATAAAAATTCAAAACAATAAAGTTGCTCACCATTTAAGCGCCTTAAACCACATGCTTTCGGTAATTAAAGCATACTCCCGACCAGAGAAACCCTCGCACTTATCATCGCCATTGCCGATATCATTCACTTCTCTGTGTAAATTCAAAACAATCTCATCATCAAAATCACTCTCCCTCTTCTCCTCATCATCATCAGTTGCCGCCGCCGTATAACGAACACCTTTAATTACACTCAAACACTCCTCACTCGCATCCTTCCACCACCTGCAAAATCCAATTCAATCAGATTCAACTCAATTCACTCAAAATCAAATCAATTCAATCAATTTTAACTCAATTCAGCTCAATTCAATTCAATTCAAATTCTACATTACTCAAAACCAAACCAATTAAAAAGAGAGAATTAATACTTGTAAGAGACGAGGAAGAGACGATCATGGCGAAGAGCGAGAGACAAAGACGACGCCGACGACGGAGGAGAAGATTGAATTCGACGGCGGCGACGAGCGTGGGAGTAGAGAAAATCACCGTCATCGCCGCCGTTGGCGTCATCATCGGAGGCGTTGTTATTGGCGGCTGTATCGTCGACGGCGAGAAGCTCGTCGGGATCGAAGACGTCATCCATGGCGGAGGAGAGAGAAAGTTTAAGAGAATTGGAGAGGCGGGAGAGGAGAGAGAAAATGAAGATGATGAAAGCGTTGATTTTTTTGAATTTAAAGCGTCGTTTTTGTTGTCGTTGAGTCAGAGTTGAAGAGGAAGAAGAAGAGGGCATGAATGAAAGCAGAGTAAAAATTATTTTTTAAAAAAAAGGTTAAATTAAATTGGGAATTTGAAAGGTTTTTCTGGGAGTACGAAAGGTTTATTTATTAATTTTAAATTAGGAGTTTAATTTATTTTGATTTGATTAGATTATTTAGAGGTGAAAAACGCGAGTGGAGTTAGAGGTGGGAGTGATGGTTGGTCTAGATGATTCTCAGAGGTTCAGGTTGTGGGGTAGGGGGTTTTTACACGTGGAATGGTTGTGGAACCCGAGGTAGCTCAACTCGTACTCCAATAAAAGGTCGGCAAAAAGAGTCTTTTGAGTTTTTTGGGCTTCCCTCAAACAAAAGGCTATTTGGGCTGGGCTTGATTTTTGTTGAATGTGGACTGGGTTAACAATTAATTTTATTTTTTTTTCAGAAGAATGAGCAGTATGGGTAGTTTTTGGCCCGGACGATGTTCGAGTTTTTGCTTGTAGTTTGATTATGCTTGTATTCATTATAGTTTTTATTTAAAAAAAAAATCTATATTGAATGTTTATTTAGTCAATTTGATTAGACATTAAAGGGAGGAAACTAAAAAAATTATGGTGTGATGCGGGAGCAATAGTCCAATACAGTATGGGTTTTCACGAATATTCATGGAGTTTATTGAGTAACTACACCATCATTTCCTAATATTAATTATTAGGATTTTTGCTTATGGCTTTTTACCTTTTACTTGAAAGGATTTTTCCTATTTTTAGGCTTTAAGAGCTTTAGTTATTAGGATATTTATTTGTTTAATTTATATATGTTATGATAGGATTAATAGTTACTTACAAATATGATTTGAAAATATATTAGGATTAGTATTCTTAATATTCAATCTTATTTTAGGATATGATTATTAGTTTCCTATCTCACTTTTTTGCATCTTGTTGAATGCAATTGACAAGAAACCCCCATTTCCTGCGGGAGTTGAGATCTATCCTTTTAATTTTTGTGTAATTCTTTAATTCTTACTAAATTTCGAAAATCCAATGATATTATTGTTTGCGAGTCTCATGAGTTCTTGAGAGATCACATCATGGTGGAAATATTTGATGCCCATCAATAGTTACAAAATTTTCAATAGTGAATTAAATTTGCAATTAAAAAATGAATTTATGTTTGCTTATTAGTTGGATATAAAATCTATTCAACCTCAGTTCATTTAGAACACTATAGTGTTCGCAAATGGCTCATTTATTAAACAAGTTGATAAAACGAGCGTTTTTTATGAACGCGAGCTTTGTACTTTTGACTTTTAAAAATCTCAATATTAGCATAATAATTCAATCTTAATTATAAAATTTAGATTTAAACTAGGGTAGAACCCGTGCGATTTATATAAAATCTAATTTTATAAATTGTACATTTTAAAAAAAAAATCAATAAATATAAATAAGAATTATGCACCTTGTACAAACATATTTGTAATTTTAAAATTTTAGATTTTCATCAAAATTATGATATAATACATGTTCAACGTCGCATAATACATATTTCAATGTAGGAATCCATTTATTAGTGTGCTATTTACAATTGTTTACATTTAATACATATTTCAATGTCAGAGTCTATTTATTAGTGTGCTATTTACAATATGTAAAATTGATAGATTGTAGTTGTAATGTAGAAGTTTCTAATATTCAAATTTCAAAATTGTTAAATATGGTAGCTAAAAAAAAATGACATCATCCTTGCATTTAGGCGTGAAATTTTTTATTATGAGAGTGACTTATGGACGGTAATGATATCAGAACGTTTTGTTTAAGTAATAGTTAATAGATTAACAATTGTGAATAAGTCAATAATTTATAAAATGTCATAAAATGATCCATTTATATCAAAAGCTTTCACATAAAAAGCACTTTGAATATTTGAGATATCACATCTATCTTATCATATCAAATGAGTGGCTCATAAACTTATTTAAAACTAGTATATGTTCGTGTTTAAGCTCATTTCTAAATGAGCTTTAAATATTGTTCAAGCTCTACTCATTTATTAAATAAACGAATATGAACGAGTTGTAACTGAGCTCGAATCCGAGTAGTTTATTGATCAGCTCGGTTCATTTACACCCCTATATTAAAGATATTGTTGCTTAAATATTCTAAGATTATCTAAGCTACGAGTAGATTATTTTACTCTCCTATATTAAAGATATTCATGAGTTCTTTTGCCTTTTTATTTATGTATTTCCTTTGTTTGTAAGTGATATTTTGGTGGTGGACCTTGGAGTGCATGTGCATAAACACATGTACATCGTTTTGCTCCACAAAATGCTTAAAAAGATTTGTAACTTATAAGCATTTGAATACAAAATCCCTTTTATAAAACATGCTTAATGTGAGCAAGAATGAGATGTTCCCACACGCTTATTGGAGATAAAGTTTGTTTGATTTTGATTTTTGAATTATCACTTTGTCATCCAATTTAATTGTTTACAGCTTGGCAAAAGTGTCATTTTATTTGGATGGCCTCATGCTCAGCTGAGGACTTGAATTTTTATTTTATTTTTTTCACATAGTTTATTTTCCTTCAAATACGGAGTATATGAAGGTAAAGAACTAGCTTAATTATCTTTATAAAAAATAAATAAATAAATAAATAAATAAAAATCCTATTAACTACTCCCTCCATTTTTTTTATTTGCATCACTTGAGAATGCACAAAGATTTAGGAGAGTAATATAATATTGTGAGTGAGTGAATAAATTATTATAGTAAAAGTAAGATGTGGCCCATGAAAGAGAAAGTATGTGAAATAGTATAGATATTTTTATTATTTAAGTGGGGACCATGGAAAAGAGAGAAATGATAAAATAATTTGAGTGGGGTTTAAAGTAAGAGAAAGAAATGATAAAATATAGTATAAAGTTACCAAATATAGAAGTGATGCATTTAAAAAAAACACCCATAAAAGAAAAGTGATACAAAAAAAAAGGGCAGGGAGTATTACTAAAACAAAACATGTTGACACAATCCAAAATTGTACACATGTCGCTTCTCATAAAAAAATTCCCGCCTGAATGTTTTAATGACATCATCTTAAATTTTTAAATTTTTAAATTTATATAAGGTAAATACTCTATTTTTATTGCTTTAAAAATTGTTTCAAATAGATACTTCTACATACTATTATACAACATATTAATTATTGGAAGCTAAAATAATTTTGACCATCATATTATTTAATGATCTCTTCCTACTTTTCTTGATGCCCCTTTCTCTTCCCCACTGTATTTTGATTGCAACACATTACAATTCATTTCTTCGTTCGATTTTTCTAAGGTTTCAATTCTTATTAGAGTTTGATTTACAATTACAATTTCGATTTTCAATCTCCCAATTCTCAATATAGAATAATTTTGGTTGTTCTTGATCTTCTTTTTTTCCTAATTTGTTTGATCGTGGTTTCAATTTTTTTTTTTTAATTTTCTTTAACTGTAAATTATTTTTATATCTAATTCTAATCTTTATATACAATGTAACGTAACAGAACATAAATTACAAGAAAGATTAATTCTAACCATATATCACACGGGAATAATCTACATTTGATTTGCTATAAACAAGACCTAGCTAACTCACATGTCGCAACCAACTTAATTGAACAAAATATTGGGGATAGTACTAAAAAAAAATGATAAACAACTTTAACTCAATTAAACAAGGGATTGAATGACTAAGATGACATATTATCAAATGATTCAATGATGATGTATATCCATTTTATCTAAATAATATTTTTAAGGTTCTTTTGTGCTTGATGATGTTAAATGTTTACACCTAACGATTCACTTTGAATCATACGAAGTATATGACGAAGAAGTATTTAGGTACTAACAATCAATCACTTTTAAAGTAAATAATAAATTGATTTATTCATAGACTTGGTGGTAAGACGATCAAAATTGGTCAAAGCTATGCTCATTTCTTATTTACATAGTTAAGTAGAGAAAAACAAAGATCATTTTTTTTATTGTCCTTTTTTTGGTAAAGTCTTACCCATAGTTGTTAAAATCCCGATTCGGATCTTACGATCCTACGATTCTACGATTCAAAATTGCGTGATAGATCCGCATTTTTGGTAGGATCTTAAAGTTTGTAGGATCTTACGATCCTACTCCGATATTAATTTTGAGTGGTAGGATTTCAACACGATCCTACGATTTTATTACGATCCTACGATCCGAGCCAACATTTGACTATAATATGAGACTTTGATTTATTTTGACACATTGTTTATTACTCATTAGGTTATATGCACCTAAATTTAATGTATTCAATAATTATTGCTAATAAATTAGCGAATCCGAGACATTTATATGATTTTATCAATTGACAACTTGCAATTTTCATAATTAAGGTCTCATTCTTGACAAATTTGCACATAATTTATTAATTTAAACTTGTGTTATTAATCTTCTAACTACCATACAGACAAAGCTAAATGAAGATTGACCATTCTTAAGTAAACCAATGTCTTTTAGCATTGAAACCCCTCAAGAGAAATGTTGTTAAGTTAATTTATAACATAATATATAATATTATTCGTTATTAAGTAGGATCTTACGATCCTATGATCCGATTTTATCGATTCGATCCCACCCCCCTCATCGATCCAAGGTAGGATCCCGATCCTAACAACCTTGGTCTTACCTACTATAAACTTTAAGAGTGTGAAAAGGGTAAGAAAACCTCACCCCAAAGAACCCATAGTGTGATAGTGAGATTTGTCGTCCCCACAAACTCAAAGCTGAGGATAGAATTAGGGATCGAATCCACTGCGATCCTTTCTATTAATTCTATTATCCTGAAAATAAATACAAAGTTGTTACATCTTGTTAGCTTGGAGTATGTATCATTGTTTTTTGAGTAGGATTATATGTCGTAGTCTAGTAGCGTTATGTAACTCAACGTTCTACCTGCTCTGCATTGAATAAAATGTTACTCAAATAGTCCTAAGTGACTAGTAGCAACAAAAGTAAACTCCATTGAAAATTTTGTTTCAAAGATGACCATTAGCACTATGCTGCCATCTGCCAACGATACTAGGCCAACAAGAAAGGGCCAATATTTTTTTGTAAATCAATTATAAAATAAATAAATTAAAAAAAAAAATGCACATTGCAGCAACGTTGGACCTTATGTGTGTTATAACTTTGAGCATGAGACCTTCATGGCTTTGACAAGGACGTAGGGCAAAATTAGCCGCAAAATGAAGAAAGTGGGAAAGTAGGGTTTAGAGCTAGAGAATCAAGTCTTGGTATGTACAATTAAGGGATAGCATTGAATCTGACATATGTAATCCGACTCAAAATGTTATGACAAATTGATAGTTTTACATGCATCGAAATTTAATCTACTTGAAAACGATTTGAATAAAATTGACTAAACAGTTGTATGACTCAAATTCATCTATTATTCATGATAAATCTAATTGATGGTTGATTTGAAATTGACCATGTTAATCAAGATGAACTACTACAAAAGGGGAGAGGTGAATTGTATTTAGATTCCATAGTGTCGAACTTTACGAAAATAAAATAAAAAAAATTGTTAGGAACTTAGAGTGCAAAGGTTTTTACAAGGAAACCTTTAATTAAGGGCCTAGATGAAAGTAAAACACCATTCTCTAGAGATTTTACTAACTCTCATCAATAATTCTCTCGACTTTTCGTCGCAACAATACATGGAACTTTACTTATGACAACATTAACTTTTTTTTTAGTCATGAAAGCACTCTAATTCCTTACTCATATTCACATAAATCCTAAACTTGCATAGATAATTTTAGTCTTTCAATAAGTTTCATGCATTGAAGATCATACTCTAGAGATTCAAGTTAACCCAATGTACCTTGGATCATGAGGCAAGGTTTCTCCGAAAATCACAACCAAGCTCCCTCTTTGGAACTTGATGTACCGTCACTGTTGTTAGGATACACTCATTGAATTGTTCCGGTTGGGAACACACCTTCTTCTGGTTAGGGAACCCCTATGGTTTTCGTAGGAGGATCTTCTTAAGGCTCGAGTCTCGTAGGAGAATCTCCTAAGTTTTTTTTTTTTTTTTTTTTTCTCTCTCTCCTGATTCTCATAAGAGAATTGAACCTGCTTTAGGTTCCTTTAATTTCTTTTGTTCCTCTTGAAGTCATTTATGTTCCACGCCTTCCTTTGACTTTTCTTCGAGCAGGTGCTTGTATTGTCTTTTAATAAACACTCATGAAACATTAGATTGAAGCTTACTTAATTGTTATCATCAAAACCTTATAAGGTCATTAGCCCCAACCTGAACCAAACCAAAAATGTGATGCATGGCCATCTTGAGTCATCCAAACATTGGAGGTCTAATTTGAATAACCAACTTACCATCTCATGATGACATAATTTAACACTATCATGTAAATTGCCCATAAGAGTATCAATTTTGGTAAAAGTAGCGATTTCAAGAGCATATCTTTCATTCCCAAGTCAAAAAGATATAAGAAAATTATCAAGACATGTACTCATAATAGATCAAACTATATCAAGTAGGGTTCGATTCCTTATTTCGGAAAAACACCATTATTTGATTCGATCAAGTGTTCCTTATGATGTTCGATTCATTCATTCGAACACATCATTTACTTGATTCCCTTTTTTAGTCACACCACTTGATTGAGGCACTCAATCAGATAGATTTGAAAGAATTTTATAAACTTTCAGATGATCATTAAATTCTTGACTCAAATATTCTCTACCATAATGTCATAATATTCGAATTTTATTAGCAAGTTGATTGTCTAGTTAATAATTTTGATGTTCTATAAAAAAAAAAAAGAACATAATTTTGAAATTCTTGGGCTATTAAAATGATTTACAATTGTACTTCATTAAACCATGCTCCCTCCGTATTTGTTTAAATGAAATGTTTTGACTTATTGCAGTATTTCTCCCAATAACATTTGGCTAGTGTTAATGATTTATACATAAGAAAAAAAATATAATCTTGTATGTAATTGTTGGAATCGTCTCAAAGAATAATTTACTAATATTCAATTGTTACAATTTTTATTAATTGATAGTTAAGATATTATTGGTTAAAATTTTGCATTGACATATGTGTCCAGAAGAAACATTTTACTTAAAAAAAAAATCGAAGGGATTAGTATATGCTCAAGTTGTCAATTAGTACTCCATTTGTTTCAAAATACATGCCTCAGTCAAACTAGGAACATATGCCAATGTAATACTTTGACTAATAATATCTTTAATTATCAATAAGTATGAATTACTTTAAGTTGATATTTGAAAACTATACAATGAGATGGTTTTAACAAGTTTCACATGATATATGTTTTCTCTTATTATAAATCATTGATGTTAGTCAAAGTAGTTTATGTGAATAGTGCAAAAAGTCAAAATGGATCATTTATTTTAAAACGGAGGGATTTAATGTTAGGAAAAACTCCCTCCGTATTTTATTAATTGTTCTATTACCTTTTTTTGGAAATTCTTAACAATTTACTATTTCCCTTCCCATTAGGAGTCCCTTCATATCATATTTTAATATTTTTCATATTCTCTATGCTCCTCACTTAGATTTTTTTATTCTTCAACCAATTAACCCACTTTCATCATATTTTATTACTTTGTACTATTCATCTTAAAACTCCACGCATGGAGAAATGGTGCGAGTAATAAAATACGAAGGGAGAATACGGACATGAAGGAACTTTTAGCTTCGCTAATGGTAACATGCCACATAAAGATTTCAAGCTAGTCTTTGTTATACCCAGTTTGTGCTTCAATGGTTAGCTACTACTTAGCTATTTAAATGAGCCAATAATAAGAATTAGGAAGAAACTTTATTGATATACCAAATTACCGATTTCCTATCATTTGACAATATTTAATTTCATATTTTAGCTCTAATGGTCAATCCAGTAGCTAGAAACTTTTGAAAATGGAAAACAAGTTTTTAGCTATTACCAACGGAGAAACGATAGATATAAAAAGATATACTTCGTATTATTTTTGACGAACAAATTTTTAATGAATCATATTACATTTGTTTTTTTAACCTACTAAATTTTATTAATTAAAAATTATATATACTGAATTGGACTTATATTTGAATCCCAATCGAAATTTGACATATGACCAAATTAATTAAAAATTACATATACTGAATTGGACTTATATTTGAATCCCAATTGAAATTTAACTTAAATATGGTCAGATTAAAAAATATGACTTTTATATAATTTTTATTTTTACCCAGAATAATTTAAGTCAAATAAAACTTGATTCCTTGAAAATTAGCTGATCAACCTGTCTAACAAGTCTAATAAACGCGATCCTAACTCGTAAACTCCCAGTCCTAGTCCACATCCAACCGGATTGACAAAACCGCAACAAAAATAATGAAAAGAAAGAACAAACAAATAATTAAAGATAAGACAACTTAATAGAGACTAGAAAATAGATAGATAGATACTCGAGTTAAATGTTGAGTCAACGATGACCTGAGTTACAACTTAACTTAATACAACAACGCCGTTACATACGCCACTTAACTAGTTAATGACTTAATGTTAAATCCTAAACCAAACTCACTCTAACTCAGCGTTAACCACACGTGTTCCCTTTAACCCAACTTAAACCCATCTTCTTAACCCTAGTTTAACTTTTCACTACCTAACAAAATCCCAACCACGCTAAACTAAAATCCTTTTCTTTACTCACTTCCCTTTTTCCTCTCTACTTCTTCACACTCTCTCTAAAAACTCCGCAACTAACGGCATATTCTCTCTCTGAAATTTCCAATTCCATTCTAATGTCATTTTAATCCAACACACCCACAAAACGCGTCATTTTGAGGAGAGAGAAAAGAAAATCCAACAATGGTGGTGAAGATGATGAGGTGGAGACCATGGCCGCCCCCGGTGTCGACGAAAAAGTACGAGGTTAAATTGGTAATTAAGAGGGTAGATGGGTGGTATGATCAGGTGCGGGAGGGTGTACAAGAAGAATATGAAGGAGAACCTTATAAAGAGAAATTGATGGTTGAGATTCGATGGAAAGGACCTCTGAATAATAATAAGGTTGGTCTAATGCGTCGGAGGTCGTCGGAAAAGAGGGATTTTACTAAGGATGTTGAAGGGAGTAAAGAGAATCAAAACGGTGACGTTTTTGAGTGGAACGATGAGTTTCAGAGTGTTTGTTGTTTTTCTTCTGTTAAAGATAATTGCAACTCTTTTCTTCCTTGGGAGATCGGATTCTCTATTTTTCATGTGAGTTTTTTTATTTTTATTTTGTTTTAGAGGAAAATGTATGTGAATTATTTGAATTTGTTTGTTTTATTGTGGATTAGAAAATCTAGTTGGAAAATAGATCGGTGGGTAGGTTATGACAAATTCACGCCACGATCAGTGTTATTAATGTTTTTTATAATTTTTGTTTGATTAATTTGAATTTGTTTTTATTAGGTTTATTTATTTAATTTATTTTTTTAATTGGTTGGGTGAATTGGAAGTTAGTTGGTAAATAGTAATGTGAAATTGACATTAATTGTTTATTTGATTTTACCCTCTGCTTCTTCTGTTGTTTTCTCTTTTATTTACTTTAATTAATTTAATTTCATTGTTATTTTAAAAGTTTCCATGAACGTGAAATTGAAATTGATTAATTGCCATTTTTGGTACTGAACCTATAAACAGAATATATGTACAAAATTTAGTGATATCCACTCGTGTAAGTTTCAATCTCTTTCATTTTTAATGTAAGATCACGGGAAAGAAACCGTAATTATCCCGTGAGGGTGGATGTTTCTAGCAATTGATGGTGAATAATTGGAAGAATATCATGGTAATTGTTATATTGACCAGGGGTCGGGTCGGTATTAGGGATATTTACCTGATTTTTTTGAAAAATCGGAATTTATTTGATTAGTAATTAGCTCGATTGGATAACTCCTTCTCACTGTCGTGACAAGGGTTTGATCATTGGTTAAACACGCTTTAGTTACCTTGTGATCGAACTATATATCAGGATATTTAGATTTAGAATTAGTGTTAATGGTTGTTTTTAGTTGGAATCATTTAGGTTCTTCTTTTCTTGTCACTTTTGAAATGGCTGATTTGAATGAGTACTAATCCGAGCATAATTTACCACAAATTTCCGTATTGGGAAGTCAAAGTTGATTTAGTCTTTTGCCAAACTTTCTCAAAAATTAATGTATTCTAATATGCTTTTGCTAATTCTCTATCAAATCCAGGATATTATACATATTCCTTGGATTAGATAACCCATTGTTATCTTTCTTACTCATACAAGGAAAGAATATTTGAGAATGAATCGATTCCCAGTTAGATAATTAGTTGCCAAAACACATGGATTCCACTGCATTTCTTCCAGCTTGCATGTTTGGCTTGCCGTGCATGTATGTTCTTTTGGACTAATAAAGCTCACTGTTTTCAAAGCTGGTGGATTTGACCTCTGACATTTATTTTGGTCATATGACGCAATAACTTTCTTACATGTTACTGAATTTGATTACCGATTTACATGTCTGTGAAGATGTATGATTTTGCGTACTTAACTCACAGCGTTTCTGCTGTCTTAGGGTTCGAAGCCAGGTCCAAAGAACAAGGTTTCTGTCCTTGCTACTGCATCGCTTAATTTAGCTGAGTATGCATCAATGACTGAGCAAAAAGAATTCGAATTGAGCATTCCTCTGATACTTTCAGGCAGTACTGCTGATTCTTCTCCTTCCCTACATGTATGTCCGTCATATCTTCTGTTTTCAATTTATTTCCTCGTATGGATTCTTGTAAACTTCTTTGTCCTGCTTCCATATGTGCTCACTTATTCTGATCAAGTGTGCTAAATGCTGACAGATATCATTGAACCTGCTGGAACTTAGAACTACACAGGATTCTGGAGATTCTCTGCAACGGTCTATTGTTCCTGTGTCATCACCTCCTCAGCCCGGGGAATCACTTCCAGCAGAGAAAGATGAACTTTCTGCACTGAAAGCTGGCCTAAGAAAAGTAAAGATTCTGACGGAATATGTTTCTGCCAGAAGAGCGAAGAAGGCATGCCGGGAGGAAGAGGGCAGTGAAGAGAGGTGTTCTTCTAGGAGTGAGGATGGTGATTACCCATTTGACTCAGACTCGTTTGATGAATTTGGTGAAGGAGAGACGGATGAAGGAAAGGAGGATCCTAGTGTTCGGAAGTCGTTTAGTTATGGGACTCTGGCTTATGCTAATTATGTGGGAGGATCCTTGGCTTCTGGCACACGCGTCACTAGTGAGGATGAAGATTGGATTTATTACAGTCACCGAAAGTCAGATGTCGGGTGTTCAGTCAAAGAAGATTCCACTTCATTAGTTAGTGAGCCACCACTTGTGCAGAGTTCAAAACGTAGCATACTTCCTTGGAGAAAGAGAAAACAAATTTTCAGATCTCCTAAAGCTAAAGGAGAGCCATTGTTGAAGAAGGCTTATGCTGAAGAAGGTGGGGATGATATTGACTTTGACCGACGACAGCTCAGCTCAGATGAATCCATCTCTTTTGGAGTGAGTGCAGTTTTCTTATTTGCCTTAGATCTTTGGTTTATTATAAGTTTTAATCGTTTGTAGAGTGATTATGCATTAGTTTCTGATTGTAACTAACTTAACTTTTATTTTCTAGTGGCCTAAGAGTGAAGATGATTTGGCAGCAAATCGGCCATCAATATCAGAATTTGGCGATGATAGCTTTGCTGTAGGAAGCTGGGAACAGAAAGAAATTGTGAGTCGCGATGGACAGATGAAGCTTTATGCAGAGGTTTTCTTTGCTTCCATTGATCAAAGGAGTGAGAGAGCAGCTGGTGAAAGTGCTTGCACTGCTTTAGTTGCTGTTATTGCTGATTGGCTCCATAAAAATAGTGGAATTATGCCTATCAAATCTCAGTTCGACAGTCTAATCAGAGATGGCTCTCTTGAATGGAGGAAACTCTGTGAGAATGAAACATACAGAGAAAGGTTTCCTGACAAGCATTTTGATCTAGAGACTGTTCTGCAGGCCAAGATTCGCTCTCTTTCTGTCCACCCTGGCAAGTCTTTTATTGGGTTTTTTCACCCTGAAGAAACCGTTGATGGCAAATTTGACTTTTTACAAGGTGCAATGTCCTTTGACGGAATTTGGGACGAGATCAGCCGTTCTAGTTTGGATTGCTCTAGCTCTGGTGATCCTCATGTTTACATTATAAGTTGGAATGACCACTTTTTTATTCTCAAGGTGGAGCCTGATGCTTACTATATCATTGACACTTTGGGAGAGAGGCTGCATGAAGGATGTAATCAGGCTTATGTGTTGAAATTTGATCGAAACACCAGGATCGCTAAACTCCCAGCTAACTCCCAAGCACCGGATGAAAAATCTGCCATAGATCAACCTATGTCAGGAAACGGGCCCGAACCAAGAAATGGACCTGTTGAGCCAAAAGTCGAAGATTCCACAAAGAGTGAAGAAGAGGAACTTCTTTGTCAAGGGAAGGAGGTTTGCAAAGACTACATCAAGAATTTTATGGCAGCACTTCCTATAAGCGAACTGCTTGCAGACCTCAAGAAAGGCCTATTGTCTTCTGCCCCACTGCACCGTCTTCAGGTCGAGTTTCACTATACGCAGTTTCTCTCTTCTCCCTTGGCCGAGGTGTCATCAGCTGCTGAAGTAGTGGCTGCAACTGCAAACTTACCACATGAAAATGTAGCAATATCTGAAGTTGCCGCTGCATAGAATGGTGCCACTGCTTAGAATGGTGTATATCTTAGCTAAGGTTTTAACTGCACTAACTGCTTTTTCCGTTATTTCGTTTATCTGCTTTGTAAGGGTTCAAACGGGCTCTCAAGAAAAGCAAAGATGAGCTCGTGTGAGTCTTTTCCTAATGGCTTATTTTTCTGCAAAGCTTTTTAGGTTGGATTTCCTCTTGTTGCTGTAGGAAATGTAACTATCTCTCCTTTTGTAATCTTCCTGGCACAACTTTTTATTAATCTTGTAAGGGTCAGTTTGGAATGATAACTAGGTCTTTTCGAAACTGATATTCGAACTCTAAACTTTAGATACCTCTAATGTATTCTTTTCTCAACATTTTGTTACCCTTATGTAGCTTAAATTAATGAGATATTCATTTGTTACTTGATTTTGGTTTCACCTGTACTTTCTGTTCTTTTCCCCCTTCTTTTTTGGTGCATTTTCCCCCAAAAGTTTATGTGGTCAGTACTTTATCTTTTGGAAGCACCATATTGTAAAAGGGTTTCTCTTTTTACTGGTGGTTGTTGTGGTGGGGTGAACAGGTAAACTTTACACTATTATATGGCAAAGTGCTCCTTTATTTTACATACTAGTAGATAAAGTTAAATAAAAAAGCAGCTAGGGTTAAGTATAAGACGGTAATTAAAGTAGCGAGCATTATGTAAATAACACTGAACAATTCGTGATTTTGTTATACATTCCAATATAATCACCTCGGAAAAACTGATAGCGAAACCCATACTGATGCATGAACTGTTACAGCACAGCTTAGTGAGTATTCTTATTCTAGAATCTGGTGGTTATAGTAATAATTTGAGGAAGTGGTAGTGTTGATGAATGATGAATTAAACTCCATAATGTGGGGTTGACCTAATGACATGTAATTCAAAATAAAAATGTCAGCAGTGAGCTGTAAAGCTGAAGCTTCTTTTCCCCAAACAATAGCTTTTTTGACAAATTATTCTCCTTTTTACCAGATTAGATTACAATTTATTTCTTTTATGTTTCCCGTTTACATAAAATCGCAAATTATTGTAGTGCTAAGTTAGGAAATTGCATGTTATTGTAGATTGGATTGTTGGAATACAGAGAATATTTCATTTTGTGAACCAAACAATGCACGTTGAGTATATACCCTGCACCTTTTGTGCAAATCTTGTGGACTCTGATAATTTCAATGTGCAAATCGGCTTTTTGTAGTATTCCGGCACTCAATGGTGCCTTGAATTGTAGAGTTGTGGAATCAATGATTAGTTAAGTTGAATCCATTGATTTTTTTTTTAATTTTTAATTTTTTATATGCAAGCATACTTGTACTACAAAACTTATTAAATTTCGACTAATCTAAATTTGATCCAGGCTAAGCTCTAATTCAACTACAACCCTCCAATAGGCGGTGTTGTATTTTCAAGTTTTGAACCTGAAACCTTGATTTGTTGGAATAATTTTCTTACCAGCTGATCCAAGTACATACTGGTGATTCCATTTGAATAACTAAACATTAAAATCAAATTTTCATATTACGATCATCTGACAAAATTAAAAAATTAATATTGATTTTCTAAACTTGTGTGAGGCTTTAATCATTTATATATTTAATCACACATTACTTTAGGTTGAACTTGTTACTTTGAATATCCTAATCATTGAGGCCGAAATTCTTAGTATGCGAATTTGGCATACCATTCCATTTTGGTCAAAGGGCATATTTGGCAAAATATAGTTGTGGAGGTAGCTGTTAATTGTGGTAGTAGCTGTTAGCTGTGCAAGTAATCGTTAGTTGTCAACAACCTGTTAGATGTGAAAACAGATAATTAAAGTTTGAGTGTTCGATAAAGTAGCGGTTGACTAATTGTAATATATAAAAATCAATATTTTTTTTTCCCTAAACTATAGATTAAATTTTCAACAACTACCTCTTAAATTAAAAAGCTAATATTTCTTTTCGGTAAAAAAAATAAAAAGCTAATATTTCTAACTTTTGATAAAAGCTACCTCCATCATTAAACACTACTTCAACCACTACATTGTCAAACACTCATATTTATTTATGATTTGACTTGGTCAAATCACTAAAAGCTACTGTCGAACATGTTCAAATATGGCAAGGAGGAAGAGGCAAATAGTAATCTCAAATTTGATAGTCAAAGACTTATCCACTAATTTATGCTCTTTAGTATGATTTTATTTCGAAAGAAATTCTAAAATCGGCAATTGAGGTTGGAAAATAAAGTGACTCTAATAGCCCGAGATCACTTGGACCCAAAACTAGTTTAAAATTGAAAAATCGTACACTCATCCAATAGCAGAGTCTCCAATCAAGATAAATAAATGGCATGCAAAGTAAACTGGACAAGTAGAAACGGTGGCGTAGTTCACACTACCAATGTTATCCATTAAATGCTACCTAAAATAGGCGAGTTCGCAAGATCTTTACATCGCTGTCCATATCTTTCATATGCTGACTACATACAATAACTACTAGTATATGATAATATTGGTCTCATCAATGCGTAATCTCTGGTCTACTTCATCAATGCGTAATCTCTGGTCTACTTTACTTGACCCGTTAATGAGTTGGAGACTTTGGAGTCTTCACATTTTCATGTTCACTTGTGCATGGGAAAAAAAAGCGTAATACTAGACGTATGGACGTTCAAGTGTATGGTATGGTATCATTGCCACCGCATTGAATGGCGGTAATATCACTTTATATAATAAACAATAACCAATAAGGTCTTGACCTAGTGGTTAAGATTGAGGATCTGTATACGATAGGTTACAAGTTTAAATCCTCTTATCTCCGTTTGTAATTTGTACAGTATTTCATATTTATCGAATAACTTTTAGAAACGGAGAGAGAAACATATTTAACTAACAATAATATTTGTTCATAGATTTTTATTTTTTATTTTTTATTAAAATAAAAAATAAAAAAAACACTGAAAAAGCTTAGCATCGGAATTACTTCTATTACTTTGTGAGTTGTGACTACGTATTTGGTCTAAATATGCTATCCATGCATGCATAAAGTATTAAAGTAGGAAAGCAACAATTTTTCGTTCTTACAATCTTACTATAATCAAGGTCAATTATGTGCCATCTTCTTGATCTTATGACCTTTCTACAAGTACATGAACCTCGTAAAATCAACATGCCAAGAGGCTGATCGTTCACAAGTTAGTACTCCTATTAAATAATACGGAATACTTTGTATGAAATACTTATTAGGTTATACTGTACTTGTGTTTGATAGACACTGGAATTATGGATATATTTGCACATTGTACAACAAAAGAAAATAATTGCGTATATAGAAAAACATGACATTATAATAAAAGAACAAATATTATTTTTATAAGTTACTATAAAATTAAGATATTTAATTTCTTCCTTACCAAAAAAAAAAAAAAAAAAAAAAAACTTAATTTCTTTTTAATACATGCATTTTTTTTTTGTTCTATTTCATGTTTTAAAAAAAATCTAATTGCACTATTTGACTTTATTGTCTAGCATAAAACTTAGATATACTGGTACTTAAATTATTGTGCATTGTGTGTCTTAATTACTAAGTACTAATTAATAGTTATCATCACAATAATAATGAAACTCTAAAACTGATTCCATTCTGATTTTAGTTAACAATAGTTCCTACTTCCTTAGCATCATTATATACAAACAATCAAAGCAGCATAGTCTAGAAATAAGACAACAATAATGTTAACATATATAGTTTCTACTGATTTTCTAGCTATCTAGTTAATAAGAGCAAGGTGGACACTTGATCAACCCATTTTCATTACACTTAGTACACCTAACGAACAAACTACCCTTATCATCTTCTTGATCACCTTTGTAAATCTTGCAACTTCCATTACAATCCGAGCACAACAGAAACCGAAATCCACCACATTGGCAGCACTTAACATCTGAGCTCAGATCACTTACCGGTATCCCTTGCAGCATCTTCTTCAGCATTCCGGCCTCATGCAACATTAAAACTTCATCAGCTCCACCAATGTATCTCCCTTTGATAAAGAGCCTAGGGGGAAGAACACGATCTTCTAAGACTTCCCAAAGCTCGTCCCTAAACTTGAGGTGCATCGAGACATCCCTTTCAGAGTACACAACTCGAAAGCTATCTAGGAGGAACTTTATAGCATTGCAATCTTCATATGTTTTTCTGATTCCTCTTAGGCTTGTTGTGTATAAGACAACTTTGTCACTCCCTTCTGGTGGACATATCTCTTGAAAATTATTCAAGTTTTTGGTACATTCGACATCTTCTTCATCTTCTTGGTCATTTGTTCTGGTAGGAGAGGAATTAGAAGACGAAGAAGTAGATGATGTTGATGACGAAGATGATACCATTTCAGGCATTAAATCATCAAACCCACATTCACAATCTTCGAATACATCAACCTCTTTGTTGGAGTTTAATAAGTCATCACCACTCGATATGATATGTCCATTATTTTTGCTTCCTAAAGCAAGATTATTGTTTGTAATGTTTTCTTGCTGTAAGTTGTTTGGTGGCTTCTGCAGGTTTCGACTACTAGACAATCTTTCTGGGTGGTCGCGGTAAACAGATACAGGTACTGCATTCTGTTTTGACGTGTAGATTGATGGGATGGATGTAAATCTCTTAAGAAACTTACTTTTGATAATGCTCTTCATCTCTTGTGAACTTATTTTGTTTCTTCCTTCGAAATGAAGGTAATGAACAAAACTAAGTCGAAAAGAAGACGTAAAATTGGTACTTAAGTTTATAGAACTGAGAAAACGACTGATAAGGAGAGAAACATATACATAACAAAGGTTGGTTTTCATTTTGAAATTATTTTCTTTCGTTAGTTAGGAAAGTGAAAGGGATGTTATTATTATCCCTTTCCTTTTGGTTTTCTATGATCAGAAAGTCTTACTATAAAAACTATTGTTCTTTTGCTTTTAAAAGTTTCTGATGATAATTGACAGTTTTTAACTAGTAGTATTAGAGATTAGAGACTAGAGAGCATCTCCTTCAATTCCAACCCAATTGCTTGCTGTGGGGGCCGGGCCGTGGCCAATCATGTAGTGCGACGGTGTCAATCTTACCGATGTGGCGAGCTATGATTGGTGGGTTGATGAGATAGAGTGAGGATTTTAGTTGTGGTTCATAGCAAAAATTGGGAGACAAGGTGTGGTAAGGGGTCATGATACATTTGCATGTGGGAAAAAGCTAGTGTTGCCTCATTTCTTCCATTCTTTATATGATAAGAATCATCCACATAAAAGTTTAAGTATGGTTTTCAAACCTTTTTTTGGTACTCAGTCTGCTTTTTCTTATCCTTTCTTAACCACCAAATCCCATCAAAAGGGTTTTTTTGATCACCCATTATGACTTTTCCTAAAGTCCCAGCACACATTGTGACTTCCCAACTGAACCAATATTTGATCCATTATGCTTTCTTTATAAACTAATTTTTCAAAGATGGTGCAATCAGCAATAGTTTTTAGAGTAGCTTTTGGTCACTCCTTTGTAGTACACTCTAACTTGCTTTTGGATCAGTGTAGAATACAACTATCAGAGCTGACAGCCTTTGATACAACACGACATGACAACACAACCTCAAACACTAAACTTACAAGGAGAAATTTGAACAGGAAGCATCACAAACCCATTCTAATTAAATAATTTATCATATTGTGTAATAATCTTGCGTTTTACATAAGTTTTTATACTACCTTCGTTACTTTTTAGTTGTAACAAAGGGGTATTATTTGTGAGATATAAAATATTCCTTTTGTTGCAACTAAAAAGTTATAGAGGTAGTATATTTGATGATGAACAACCTATAATAATTGTATAATGTCATGAAGTTACGGGTTAACCCCACCTTCCCCATTCCCCTCCTCAAAATCTATGAATATATGCTGTAAAAGAAATTTTGAGCATTTGAGCAAGTGAGCAGATAAAATAACATATAAATAATGCACATTGCTTTATATCATGTAACTACTAATTTCAAGCATATTTTTTTTTAGAAGTAGCAAATAAACAATTACTAATCACTATTAATGTGGCAACTAATTTAGATATAGTGTATATATATATATCACCTTGTATTCAGAAACAGGATATAAAGTGCTTGTATGTACTTCACATTTGTAATCAATTCTGTAAGAAACATACGAAGTATTAACATAATTTTGTCAGGGAGATAGCTTCAGGAAGTTTGTGTGTAACTTTAGTTTTTACATCAAAAAGTTCGCAGCCATAGACGATCCAAATCCAATGCTAAAATCAAAAGCAACACAAGACAGTTGACGCTTGTTTGCATCCAGGATCTTCATTCTAAGAGTGTAGGAACCCTGGTATATAGATCACATTATTGACAGGGTGAGAAATGAAATGAGACCAATGACCAAAATGTGATGAAATAAAAATTTACATCTGCTATTGTTAATAAACTGAAAAGGACAGAGTACAAGACAATAGTTCGATGGTGATCAGGTGATGCACCCATCACCCAAGGATTTAATCCCAGTGACCCACAATTAACCTTCTTCAAGAACGGGAAGCTTTACCCTTATTGCGTACTAGCGCGTACACCCAGTGTTGTACAGGTTTTTGGATTGGTAAAGCAAGTCAGTAATAGACAGTGAACAAGTGGAAATTGAGCATTCGTATTAAAAGCTGATTATTTTCCTTTGTTCTAGTAGATTAAAATCCTTTAACAAAGCACATATTCTAACTGCTAACTTACAAACAGTTTATACATGCATACCAAAGTGGAATTAAACCTTAACACTCAAGCCTTTCAAGCTTTCATTTTTCTAGAGGAAAAAGGCTTTGTTCTCCACAACTTATTGAAATTTTTTAAAGCAAAAATAATTTTTTGTTTAATATGGTTTTTTTCTTTTAAATTTTTTTTTATTCCGTGCAAGAGTTTTTTTATTAATTAATTATTTAATTATTTTCTTAAAAAAAGATCAGCAAAAAAAGTCAAGTTCAGCAAGATACAAGTTAAGCTAATGTACTTGTTCAGCACTTCAGCATAAATAAGTAAACTTCATAAATAAGTAAATAGAAATAAGCTGAGAAGAACATAGCCTAAGGTTGTGAAATTGAAAAAACAAATATTGCTCATTCTCTCTCTATACAAATACAATTACAAATTTTCACTTAACATAGGATAATTAATAGTCTTGGAGTAAATGGTAATAAGAGAAAAAGACCAAAAGGTAAAAAAGTAACAAAATTTTACCAAGGTAAAAAAAAAGACTATGAATACAAACTAATTTTGGATATGAAGATTGAAAAAACTATGTTTCAGTTTGGTACACGTCCAGGTCATCTACAAGTTCAGTGTTTGGAAACCATTAAAATATGGAAATATGAGGAAAAGTAAACCTACGAAAATCTGTAGAGAAGTACAATAATATTTCTTCTATTCACTTTTACAGGCAATTGTTTGACATTAACATTATTCACAAACCTCCATTTTACTATCTTTAGTGAGTTACATGTAAGCAAAATATAGTCAAATATTATCTTGTTAGTTTAGTTTTATTGTATATTTTCAAAATATCAACTTTTTATAATTTCATCTGATTTTTTTTTTTTTTTTGGAAGAAATAATTTCTTCTTATTATGGTAGTGGATGTAGATTTTTGTGTAATCCACCTATTTATCAAAGTTCTACTCACTATTCTGTTACATCCAAATTTTAAAGCTATACTCACTTTAGCTTTTTTTTTTTTTCTCCAGACATTATTTTTCTTCTTTACGAGTTTTACCCCTTCAATGAACCATAATATGAGATCTATTTGCATATTCCTCCCCAAATAATCAAAAAAGGAAGATTGGCTTGGTTACCAATGCATGAGAATAACTTAGGAAAACAAATTAAAATTTCATTTATTTGGTTTGTTATTGTGAAAAACAATGAAAAAAACAGAGGAAATTGATATTTTGTACTTGTATATTTAATTTTGATTGGAGCACAGGTGGGGAGGGGAAGGGGTAGTTTAAGTTTCTTAATTTTCCATCAATTCTAAAGCGAAAACAAAGGGAGAAAAAATCTAAGTGCTTGTTTGGTTGCATTGGAAATTAAATTCCTATGGTAATTTACGTTTCTTAAGAAGTAGCTCCCTTCACAAATGTTCTAGAAATTTGCTAAACTTGTTTGGTGGACATAAGAAAATTTGAATGACTGGGGAGGGGTTTAAGTATTTATCTTCCCATGACATAACCAGATAACAAGGGATATAAGCAATTCTTAGGAATACTCATTGCTTATGTCAAAGAAGTGCAACCAAACAAGCACCAAGAAAATTACTCACATTTGCTTAATTTAACTTTCGCACAATTCTTTTTTTTTTTTTTTTAAAAAAAAAATTTCGCAAAATTCCTTTGCAACACTCAAACATGGTAAATTAGGGAAATTTCTCATTCGTATTTCGATTCACCATATTTCCTTGTTGAATTTTGGTTCCCAAACACAATACAAATTGCAACATTCTAAGTAAGTCATCATAACTAAGGTCCGAGCAAAAAAAAACTCCGAAAACATTGAGGTGAAGATTGTGGAGAACATGGCCTCATCATGGATAAGGGTTGAGTATACCTTGACCTCCTTAAGCCTACATAAATATTAAGGCAGACAATATTTTTACTCCCAAACATTAGTGAATTAGTAGATCTCTATCAAACCTTGTTAATAATCAGTTCTAACGATCATTTAATCATAGAATTAGGTCAAAGACAATCACACCAACACCGACTATTGTATACAGAAGTTAATAAATATATAAAAAAGAGTATACATAAGATAACTCACCGGTGGAGTAAATATTGGCAAAACCTGGGAATGTGAAATTACAAAATCACCAATTGAGAATGGGCAAGAAGTCTCAGTACACAAATCACGGGTTTCACTGTGCACATGCCATCCAAAGTATGCAACATCAAGGTCCAATTTCCCACTGGAAATGGCATTTCCTGAGGATATAACACAACCAAAATGATGTGACACAGAAGTAAAAATAGATCTCATCAGAGAAAAGGAATACACCAATTACAAAGTCCTACAATACAATGGCACTAAAGTAAGAAAATTCTCAAATTAGATTGGATCACTAGTTTCATGATTAAAATATACTCCCTCCGTTCTTTTATGTCCTACTCAGTTACTGTAGATACACAATTTAAAAAGGCATTGAAAAATGTAAGTGGGTGTAAGAAAAGTAAAATAAGGTAAGAAAATGTAAATAGGTGGATTTGTGAAAGAAAAAGGTGAATAAAATAAGAGAGGTAAAAAGGTGTAATTATTGTGGACTTGAATGGGTAAGATGGTAAAAAGGGTATGCTAAAAAGAGAATAAAGCGAAGTGAGTAGAACAAAAAAAAAGAACAACTTAAAATGGAAAATGGATAGAACAAAAAAGAGAGGAATATAACCCAAAGAAAAAATGGAATTGGTAAAAAAAAAAAAAAAAAAAAAAAAAACAACAACAACAAACAAGATTTGGTGGCTAATAAGTTAGGTGTTACATTGGAGCAAAATGGAATCTACACATAAGTGCAGTGGAAAAAGTAGAAATTAAAATTATCATCCAACAGAATTTCAACTTCTTGATGAGTATCACATTATCACAGTTGGTTAATGGAAAATTTTGACGATGGCAATCATCTATTTACCTGTGTAATTTCATTACTAAGCTTTAGTGGGATACTCAGAAGATAGCAGCATCTGCAGAGTATCTTACAAACGAATTTCGATAAGTAGTGCACTAAGTGCTTCATAATACATGACTAATGACTACTTGTTCAGCTATCCTCACTAAGAAATGCTAATTATCATATCCTCACTTCAAAGAAACCTCTACCATTACGACATAATAAATCCAATTCACTTCAAGAACCAGTATCAAAGACTAAATTTTGCCCACTAAATCAAGGTCATAACTCATAAGTAAAATATAACCATAATTGTCTTATTAGCAGAACAGAATTCCTTAATTTTGGATATGTTGCAATCAGCAACAGCAACCTTCTATTTTATAATTCCTCTGTTTTTCAATGCATGCATCAATTTGACTTTTCACTTTTTTTATATACTAAACCACATTCCATTACTAATATATGTGAAAATAAGTGTCAATATTCTACTGCTGTGTTAGTCTCACATCTACTTTTCACACTTGTCAATGTGTATTTTCAACCTGTTAATATCTTTGATTATCAACAAGTAAAATTTATATATTATAAAAACTAGATGTGCTGCAACTAATTAAAAGCAAAGGAAGTATTTTCAAAATACAAACATTGTAATTTTTTAAAAATATAATTAAGTTGTGCATCGGAAATTGTGAAAGTTGAAATGAAGCATGTATTGAAATACTGAGTAAGTATAAGAAATTGAAAGCTCCAAGGGAGTGGAAGCTAGCCCTTGGTTTTGAATCTTCTGATACTTCCTTCGTTTTTTATTTATTATATTTTTTATTTTTTTTATCTTACTTGCATCATTTCATCACTATTCAAAGTGGCAGATCTCTAATTTGACTGTCGTTCTCCTTTTTTGAAATTTCTTTTTCCACATTCCCAAGTCCCTATCATGACTACTAGATCTCTATGGTAGTCATGATAAGGACTTGGAAAGCACCACAACTTTCCAAGTATAGAGACTTTTCCCTGAAGGCCTTCAAGAGTGAAACATTTCAAAAGCAAAAAGCATACAACTATATAAACCAAAAAATCTCATGTCTACAAAAGATACAGACGCATGAAATCGAAAACATGCAACCTGACTAGAATATGTTAATGACAGGTTCAAGCTCTTCAAAGAGTCATTGCCAATATCAGGATTTAAATTGTTAAGATTAAGGAAGCAGTATTGGAGCACAAACAAAGATTGCAGGAAAGAAAGGAAATTTTTTAACAGAACATGGAGACAGCTAAAAATACCAGCAGATGCAGAGATACTGAAGGTAGCAGGCTGGCCTCTAGCAACTGGATCAGGTGATATTTCAACCCCATGTACCTTCACTTCATAATCAGTTTTCTTATCTGCAAAGAATTATAGGTTCTTTAGTCAGTGAGACATGCAATTGCGAAGCAATCTTAAAGCAGAACAACGGATATTTTCTTATTGTAATGAATCCACGTGTCCTCTCTTTCTAACAGCATATTGTACAAAGATATCAGCAATTGGGTTTTTCTTCTTAAAGATTTGTAAACTCTAATACCATATTTCATTACACTATCCAGAGTTCCAGACATTCTTTCAAAGCCCAATTTTTACATTCATTGTTATAGAGCTGAGGAGGACTTATCCAGCTTGCAAGCACAATATCTGATTTTATCTATGCATCTCATCCTATCCAAACTATACAAAGTAAAAGCAGAGCTTAAAGTCCGCCTTAAAGATTTCAAGTTTCCTCAGGTATAAAATAACATACTTTAGATGATAAAAAAAAAGGTAGTTAATCCAAATTGTGATGCCATAAGGCCCCAGTACCCATCATATATCATATTCTCTTAATCAAACTATATAATGTTGTTTCATTCAATATCTTCAGCAGATTAAACTCAAGTTTAATACCTTAATGAAAGGAGGAAGATGAGAAAGGGAAAAGAGAGTTGACAGGTCCACAAAGCTACTGTTACAATCTTGCATGTTGCATGCACATAACATCAGAAGATTTTAGAATTGAATACACATTACACCAAAAAAATACACTAGGATTCAGGAAATTGACAGGTCAAACATACTAAATGTCCTCAAATATGGTAAATACTCTCTGACATGTAGTTGGCAAAACACCTCCTTGGTATACCTTAAACAAAGTATATCCTAAAAAGCTTTGGTACTAACGTTAACACCAATTTTCTTTAGTTTCCCAAGCAATTTCAGCAACAATTCCTAACCCAAACCTAATTACATTTACTCTAAGTGTGTAATCTCCTCAAACAACAATGATAATCTAAAATCCAAAAAAAAAGGGAAAAAAATTGCAAAAAGAATAATAGTAGTTGGTAAGTTCATAGTATAAAAGCCATTGGACATTGTAGTTAAGGGTGTTACTCGCCCTAAAGAATCCTTCTTCATAACTACTCTACCTCTCCTAATAGCCTTGCTGACAATATCACCCTTCACAATAACCGCAGCTGGAACCTGGAAGGTGTCTTTCCTAGTTTCCTCTCTCTGCTTTTCATTTCTTTCTTCATCCCAATTTCCTTCTCAGTCCCCTTGGTGTTGCTCAAACTTTATTTTCCAGCAAAGACTTCTCCCAACCATGAGTGCTAAACTCTTTGTGGCCTTACAGTCAGCTATTCGATTTGTTGGTGCTAGTTGATGGAACAGGATTTACCCAATTTCAGCTGAGAATTTTGTGTGCTTTATTTTAGTATTTGTATTTTTGGAATTTGCATGTATCAAACTAGCTCTTTCAGTTCCTTGATAACGTTTAAATGTTGGCTTATAGCTGCTGTTTTGTTGATGATGGTTAATACTTTAGGTTTCTTGACGTGGATTATTCTTGTTGAAATTTGGCTGGCATTTCCATACCATTGATTGTTCTTAAATGATTACTTTTTCTTCTTGTTTTAAAATATTTGTAGGGTACAAGGTTTATTGTATATAGTCATTACGGGTGTAACAATTTTATGTGGAAGTTTGTTTTGGAACACAAGGAGTTTAGTTATCAGGACTTAAAATATACGGGGGCCTGGGTTTTGATCATAGGATGACTTAAGCATGTTATGGGGACTCTAGCATTAGACTAGAAACTTAGTTAGTTAGGTAGTTAGAATGTACATAAACTTCTCAAATGTTAAACCACATATACCTGTTTTCCCTCTTCGGCTTGTATTTGTTTAATTGAATACTAGGAAAATCTGGTTCTGATACACATCTTTAATAGCTTTATTGATCCCAATAAGAGCCACATTCATAATTTAATCAAAGGTTTCTATCCGTTGATTATCTCTCAAGTCTTCGGTGTTTCACAAGCTTAAGCCTCGTTGAATTATTGAAAGCTCTAGCTCAATAGTATGATTCCAAATTTTGCTCTTTTGATGTTAATTACAAAACTCAGTTATAAGGGTGTTGTAACCTTCACATTCTTTACTCTTATTAATAAAAGGCTATGTACTTAATTATTAGCAAAAAAACAGAAGTCTGTCAATGTAGTCAACAGGAATACTTCAGCAATTCAAATGATTATACTGCAACCATAATAAGTATCACATATTTCTTGCAATGATAAAACCTATGCAGGGACAAAAATTATGGGTATACGTCAATTGTTTAGGAAAAGGATTGCATAATGGTGGTTCCAATAATTCTTTTAAAAGAAATAACCGAGTGTCTCTCTCACTTATTTGTTTTGGTCAAAATCTACGTGAAAGCCTAGTGATTTGCATGTTGTGTATGGCCTAGAGAAACTTTTGCATCATTTTATGATAGCAACTTGAAGATAACTATAAACAGAAAAGCCCATTTCATACAGAGGGACACTTAGTCACTTATGTGCTAATAATGACCTGCAGTGAAATTCCCTATTCAAAGAGAACACATTAATCTAAATTCAAATATCAAAGGGGTGATTTCAAATTTTATTAAAAAGTTTTAAACCAATCTCTATTGGAGTCATACAATATATGTCATACAGTACTTCGTATTAAGAACCAATAATTAGTCAAATCTATCAAAACCATGATTATTAGAAACTAATCATAGAAAAATGAAAACCACTTTTTTCTTATTTTCTGTTTTAGGTTTTTTGTTAAAAAAAAAAAACGATAACGATAGGCCCGATTTTAGTTCAGTTTAACGTTAAAAAGACCTGATAACTCTGTACAATCCGAATCGGCTTCAATTTCATCAATACATAAAACTCTAATTACAATAAGGTAATCTGCATTCTCCGATAATTTTCATCCCAAACCCAATTGAAGTCTGACCCAATTATGATACACAATTGAGTACAAATGTAAGTGGATTTAGTGATTTACACCATGTTTAATTCAACCCGTTGTAATTTTCAAAACATCCCCATAAGTTAAGAAATTTCCGAAAAGCTTCCGGTGTCATCTCTGTGAAATGTACTTCGTATATATTATCCAATTGTTCCGATCACGGAAATTAATTTGTAAAATCCGAGCATATAGCAGAAAAAAAAAAGTAAAATAAAAGAATACAACTTCTATCACAACAAATTAATTCGGATGGAGCAAGAAAGAATAATTAAAAATAGGAAAAAATCAAGAGGAATAAAAACAAGAAAGAAGAAGAATTACCACAATATCGAATATCGGTGGCGTAAGCGGAAGGAGAGAGAATGAAAAGCAATGAAAGGAGAATAACTGTGATTGCAATCTGACGCATCATCATCTTCTGCTTGATTTTTGTTGTTTGTTATAGTGAGAGAAAGTGAAAGAGAAAGAGTTTGAATTGAAAGTTGAGACGAAGCAATTGATTATGGGGGGGAATAATAGTGTTAACACTTCAACACTCACCAGGAGAATGAGAATGGTAGTTGGCGCTTGCCAGGAATCTTTGCCAGTATGTGTTCCTTTTCAAATTACTATATACTCCCTCCGATTATTATTATATTACGTGCAACAATTACCATAAATGGGTAAGTTTAATTATGTGTAACATGTTAAATATGGAAGAGAAATAAAGAGAGATAGGAGAGAAATTGAGGAGATAATAAATCAGTCTCACTTATTCCATAGAGTGGGGTATATATATGCATACAATATAACAAGAGTTTGCTTAGATAACAATAAACCCTAAATCTAGAATATTCCGGAATGATAAAAGGAGGATAATGGATATCCATACCTCTGTTTGAATAAAGTTACTTTAAAAGTTAAACTTATGCAGTTAGGCCTTCTTTTGGAGGTCGTGAATAATAAAAATCGATGATCATTATTTGATCAAACATTCATTAATAATAATTTGATGACAAAACTTGATATTATTAATGTCGTTCTTCAATCTCATCCGAATTAAAATATAACACATGTAATTAGATACGCTAATCATGGTTCTTCTAGACCATAAGAAAACATTCTCACGCATAAGTATCCCATTGATATTCTTTAGACGTTTCATAATTGACACGATAGCTCTCTTGCAAATACAAAAGCAAATCTCATCAACTTTCATATGCTCAAACTTCAGTTTGAGATGTCAATGATGTAGTCACATAGACTTTTCAAGAGTTTGATAATAATTGCAATATTCAAGATATAAAATTTGTAGGGCTATAAATACGTTGCATATAAGCTCTTCGGGAACTTTTCTTACATGATTCATAAATAATATTAGATCAACGTCATATATAATTTCATCATAATTATAAGCCCGTTGGAATATAAATATGTCTTTCTAATTTCCATCAAAGTTGTAAATATGTCTTACTATATTTTGAATGAACATTCACATACACCACAATTATTGTATAGAAACTAATGCATGCAATATGAGATATATAAAACATGATAACATATTAAGAAAAATATACAATAAGTAATGCATCTAACAACTACTGACATGTGCAATGAACAATCCGTTAACCTATGACTTATACATGCATATAAACATACATAGGACTCAAAATAATGCAAGACACTGTACAGTGTGGATTAGAAAATCCATATTTCATTGGACTTTTGGTCTATGATAAACTTATGATTACTATCATTATGTCAACGTCAAAATTGACATATATTTCAGATCCCTTATTCACTAGTCCACTTTATTATGCATATGCATATTATTCATCGGTTCCCTTGTATACCGGTATCATAATATTCCTTTAACGTACATTTCGCATGCTATTTTACTATGATATCTGAATACATTTCTTATTGGTACCATCATAACTTCCTTAAATCATAGGCCATCTATTGTAATAATTCAGATATCTATACAACTTTTAGGGTATTTCATACACTATGGTATTTATATACTATTACGCTATTAGTGTTAACTGCACTATCTTGCCATATATCATATCCATTAGAGATATCTTTATTTTGGAACCGATCATACAATCTACATTTCAGGTGTAGTGATTCAAGTATAATTTTATCTCAATGTATACACAAAATATGACCAAAAAGTATCTTCAACGCTATGCAACATGAGTCATAACTAAATACAAATCAAATCATAAATGTGCAACATATCCTGATAATATATAGGCAAAAGTTGGCATATAACTTTTCAAACTACCTTTATAGGGATCATCAATTATATTTTCCGATTTTTCCAAATTTTGCTAATTCTTCTCCCCCTAAGTTGGTAAAATATCTCATTATAGGGGCATCTAATTCTATACCAACTTAGTATACAAATTTGCATTAAAATTCTTTTCATCGGGAGGATCACAATCAAAATAATTATCTCAGAAGATTTGTATTAAACAAGTTTTATCTCTTCTAGAGAACAATTTCAATGAAGAATCATTTCTTCATTAACTTTACATTGCATGTGTATTTATTGTTACACTTTCCATAATATGTTCTCTTCTGGAGATCAATGTCAATGGGGAGACATGTGTTATGCAGCTGTACATTTTTCTTTCTTTTCCAATTTCTTATGTGCTGACATATAATAGCCCCAATCAAAAGAATTATTAGACAAGCATAAATCACTTGCTTGGAATTCTATTAGATAGTGATCTTCGAGATCTTTAAAGATTTAAATAGAGTATTTGGTGAGATTCTGGTCACCTAATAATTGACCTTAACATATTTGTTATTCTGGTGAACTTCTGGTCACCCATTACTCTTTCCTGAAAAAAAAATCAAAACCTATTAACTCTTGACATTTTCATCAATACAAATTATTATAAATCACTATTCAATAATAGCTCAATCTCAATGTTATGTCTTGCCATTTAATTCATTTAATATATGCAACATTGAAAGAGCGTCAGCACATTATCAAATGAAACTTCAAGTTTCCATAACGGGTAATTATTAAACCCGGATGGCCTAATTTAATTATCACATCCAGTCACTTCTCTAAATTTGAACTCTGGTCAGTATTCCAACACTAGTGATCACTTTATTAAGATTACTTTATGCATGGCCATGAATAAGATGTGATATTAGAACACCAACATGTGTTTCTTTATATAATTGGCAAGACAATCAACTAATACTTGATCCAAAATTTTATACTCTGCTGGAGCTATGACTATAATCTTGATACATGCTAAGCTTGTTGGACATTCTATACTCTTCTAGAGTACTCTATATAATCATGGTACATATCCATTTTACTAAATATAATCTCTTATAAAGATCTATCAAAATGTATTACTTCCTCAAATTTGCTATTGTCAATAATTGCTCTTTTCCTGTTTGAAGATTCTTATCTTTGAAATCTATTGGGCTTGGCTATGGCTACCACGCTTTAGGCGTGCTTTACACTACTAGAAATAGGTTATTTCCGAGGGAATTGTTTCGACGGAATATAATTCCCTTGGAAAATTCAAAAATTCCGGCGGAAATAGAAGTTGTAGGAAAAATCCGTCGAAAAAGTTCCCTATCGACGGAATATTCGCTTGGAAATGTTCTGACGGATTGTATTTCCCTCTAAATATTCATTTCTGAGGGAATACTTTCCGTCGGAAACGTTGAACAATTAAAAAAAAAGAGCGATTTTTAGAGAACAACCATAAACAACAAAACGCGGAGAGAGAAAGGGAAAGCGAGACAGAGGAAGAGGAAGAGAGAGAAAGGGAGAAGGAGAAAGAGGAAGAGGAAGAGAGAGAGGGCCACGCAGACTGCTGCCGGACCGCCCCTCCGCTGCTGCACCGCCGCCGGTAAGTGATGTTGTGGTGTAATTTTTTTTTATTTTATTTTTTTTCCGGAAAACCCTAACCACCACCATGTCACCTAGGGCTTACCGGAGTTGTTACTAACAACCACCAACCCCAAAGCCTTACTCGCCGGCCGGTCTGCAACCACAACGCCCACCAGCTGCCGCCGCTAGCAGGTAGTGTCCAGTTTTCCTTTTTTTTTGTTTATTTTTTAATAAAAGCTCACATCTATCATTATTCATTTTTTTTATACAAAATGCAAGCATAAACTTAAAAGCTAAAATTATAAATATAGTTTATACTTTTATTTTTTGTTTGTAATTTGAATATTTGTAGGATTTGTAGATTGAATTGGTTCTTTGGCAATAACATCTTCATATCTACAGGTTAGAGAGTTTTTTAAAGCTAAATTTATAAATTTAGTTTATACTTGGCATGTTAGATCCTAATGGTGTGTAGATATATGTTAGTTATTGTATTTACAATTTGTTGTATTTATATTATAATTTGTTGAAATATTTGAAATGAATGTGTTTGTGTTATGATATGTTAGATTAGTTTAGTTTATTTAAGTTTAGTTTTTAATGATTGTATTATAACATGTTAGTTTAGTTTGGTTCAGTTTAGGGTAATTTAATATGTTAGTTTAGTCTATTTTAGTTTAGTTTAGTTTAGTTTAGTTTAATTTAGTTTAGTTTAGTTAAACTTGGTTTAGTTTTGTTTAATAAAGTGTATGCTAGTGTATTTAGTTTAATATTTTTGTTTGATATAATGTTTAATATAATATTTAATAAGCGTTCTTATTTATTTGCTTAGTTTAGTTTAATTATGATATATCTCTGTTTAGTAAAATGCACGTGTCCTTCACTTTATATATATATATATATATATATGTATATAATAATAATAATAATAATAATAATAATAATAATAAATGAATCATTTGCATAATCATATGCCTAGATACCCGTTCCAGGCATACACATTAGGAGTATGTCTTGAATAGTCCCCGGTTGGGACTGTCCTTGTACGCTTATTCTCACTTAGGTGGTGAATGTAAGCCTTGTTTTTTATTCTAGGGAAAATCCTGCCTTTTCATGCATTTCTCTACCGTGTTCTCTGGGTACATATGTAGGTGTGTTTAATCGCCTACATCGTGTACTTGGAGAACTGTAGGGAAATGCTGGCGGATTTTCCATAGAATTGAAAACCCGGGTTACATTCGCTAGTGAGAATAAACGTACAAGGATGAGTTAGGTTGGAGTGATAAGGACCCTTTGGAAGCATTTCAAATCTCATTTGCATTTCCATAACGCTTTGGTGGATAATGACTGCGAAATACGGTTTGATTGTACATATGCGTGAGCTGTGTAGAAGCTGTAATCATGAAACGAAGAGAACGTAGGTGAATGTATGAAAGGATGGTTGGGCAAATTATTAATCCAGAGTTCGTGAAAGGGGTTGATGAATTCATTCAGTATGTCACAGATCATCCCGAGAGTAGTAACCCGAATGAAGTTAGGTGTCCATGTGTTAAATGTAAGAACAAACGCCTTTGGGATGCGGATACGGTTAAAATTCATCTATATCGCAAGGGTTTCACACCTAACTACTATGAGTGGATGTGTCACGGGGAAGGGTATCCGAGAGTTCGCGAACGACAGTCTAATGAATATCGTGACATGGTTTTGGATGCTTTTGGTCATAGTCAAGATCAGGGGCACTCCGAG